CAATCTAACAGATCCATGTCTTTTTAGTGTTGAGGATCTCAAATCAGGATGTGGTACTCCAGCTGAGGTCTCATGAGGGCAGAGTCACCTCCCTCAACTTGCTGGCCACTCAGCTTTTTATGCAGCCCAGCATACAATTGGCCTTCTGGGCTACCAGTGAGCACTGTTGGCTCATATCCAGCATTTCATCCATGAGAACACCCAAATATTCTCCAGAGGGCTTCTTTGAGTAACTTCTCCCACTCTGTACTCATGTCTGGGATTGCCCCAGCTCAGGTACAACACCTTGCTGTTGGACTTGCTGAATTTAAAGGGAAAGCCCACTTTTCAAGTTTGTCCAGATCTCTCTGGATAGCATTATGTTCTTCCACTGTGTCAGCTTCATCACTCAGCTTGCATCTGCCAACTTTCTGAGGGTGCACTCGATCTCACCATGTCATTGGTGAAGACATGGAAGAGCATCAGTCTCAGGAGTCAGGAGAGCCCTGAGGGACACCAGCTTGTCATTTGTCACCAGCTGCCACCTGGACATAGAGATATTGGCTGTAGTTCGCTGGCTGCATCCATCCAGCCAATTCCTTACCCACTAAATTGTCCCTCCTTGTCTTTCCAATTCGGCAGTAAGGACATAATGTGGAACCATATTAAAGGCCTTACAGAAGTGTAGGTAGATGGCATCTGTCAGTCTTCCCTTGTCCACCATTGCTGTCATTCCATCACAGAAGGCCACCAGATTGGTGGCCTGTGATTTGACCTTATTTAAGCTATGCTGACTGCCTTGGTCACCTTTCTTGTCTTATATGTGCCTTACCCTAGAAAGGAGGATCTGTTCCATGATGTTCCCAGGAACAGAGGTGAGGCCCTCTGATCCCCTGCAGCTCCCCACTGCTACCAAAATCTTGCCACACAAATCCAATACTGCATCAGTTACAAAACAGTAAAGCAGCAGGCATGATTTTTTTAATGAGTTTTAGTATAGATTGATATGGAATGATTTGCCTTAGACCTGAAAAAAAAAAATCTTCCAAGATGATGTCTTTTGCTGGACACTAGCACTTTAGTAAATACTGTGTATGTCACTTCTCATTTAGTATTTTAGGCAGAATTTTAAAGGATTCTTTTTTTTTGCAACTGCAAAATTTTGCTCATATTTCATGCATATTCACTATGAACTTTTTTTCTTCCATTTAGGAATTGCTCAGCGACACTGCTGAATGAGAGTAACTCCTGCTGAAGGAGTTTAGAAAACAGTGTCCACACACACAAATTTAAAGGTGTTGATCTGCTGTCTGTCACTCTCCTACAGGCATATTTTGCTTTCTAATCCAAAAGGTGATAATTGTGTTTTACACAAAAAGACTGTATGGGATTTTTTTAACAGTCTGGCTTCAGGGTGTCATTAATAATGACATAAATGTCCAAATGAAACACATTATTTTTTCAGGATTTTTTTAATTGGCTTGTTAGAAATTACATGTAACTGTTGTTTGAAAAACAATAGTTGTTTAAAGAAGCGCTGAAATGTGTCAGCTACACCTGTGTAACTTGTCTAGTTAAATTCCAGGTACTTTCTTGGGCTCAGAACTGATATATCCCTTAGTGTATCAGCAAAAGGGAGTTATTAGTGGTAGGTAAAATGAGAATGAAATCTGCTCCAGCGTGCTATCTGTCATGGGCAGAGGTACAGCTATTGCCTTCTCTTGACACAAAAAACACCTTAGGGTTAGCTCTGCTTTTTTGAGTACTTTTACCTCTGGGTATGGATGTGCCTTGCTGGTTAAAAAGACCTTGAATAGTGCACATAGTGAAAATTGCATCATAGGGATTCCAAATTTAAATCTTAATCCAAAATAGTCAGCAGTTTACCCTATGTAACAGATTGTTATCCCCTAAAAAAAATAAAAATTCCTGTATGGAATCAGCTACCAAGATCAAGTAACTCAGGTGAACACTCTGGCTAACATGATGGTATACTTCTAGATTTACATTTTTGTTAGGACCAAGAGTGCTAGAGAGTGAAAATTGATACAGAGTTGAGTGAGCAGAACTGGGATACTAAGACATTTTCCATGCATGGCTGCACTGATCAGTAGCAGTGGATGAACTGTCTAATACAGAAGTGTTTAATTAAAAAAAGAATTACAGAAAATACTAAGAAGCTTTTTGAAAAAGAAAGAAAATATTCAGCTAGAGTGTACAATACTAGTAGCCAGCTTGGGAGTTACTAAAAGATACAGGAGGCTTACAGCATGCGTGCTACTTGTTTAAGTAGATTTCAAAAGGATCCCCAAATGCTGGCCTGGCTAAACAGCAGACTAAGATATAATATCTGAAATAAAACATCATAGTTCTTGAATCAGATCTTATATCTTAGTAATGAAAATAGAGAATAATAAAGCTGGTGGATTTAACCTATAATTATAGTGAGGTGGGGAAAAAATTGATTAAAAATTCCCAACAGACATAAACACTATTGTTAAGTATTTCTTCAAACTTTGCAGGAAAGTTTGAGAAGTGTCTGGAGGATCAGTAGACGGCCCAGTTGTAAAAGGTGGCTTTGGAGTATATAAGGTCATAGCTGAATAATGGAATTGCTTGCACTCACTTTGGCAACACTCAGAGAGCTCTTCATGCCAGAATGTTTCTTAATAAGGAATGTGACAGAGTGTACGACTCAAAATGAAGCATCAGTGGAAGAAATTGCAGTACATTGAGCAAACTGTGAACAAGGCAGCATGATCAAATGGCATTCATCCAAGTGTTGTAAGAGAAACTGGGGGGGTAAAGGAGTTAATGATTGGAGTGTGTTGCTTGTGGTTAGCATCATATTTCTGCTACAGGTAAGGAGGGTAGCTAGCCTGATACCAGCATTTTAAAAATGCAGTGGAAGTATTTGAGGAACTTTACATCAGTGAGCTTTATGACCATGTAACCTGAATTCATGGAAATTATAATGGACGCCAGAATTAATTTCATTGTTCCCTCTGTAAAGGGCTTGGGAGAGGCTAAATTACCTCTGAATACAGTGGAAAATTTTATAAGAAACAATTGGGAAGAGTTAGAAAGAGACAGCAAAAAAGGTGTGTTTTGTTAATAGGAGGAACCCATTGAAGTGCACAGGGATTTATAACATTGGTGCACAGTTATAAGGAAAATGGTGTGATAGCCAGGTGACTAAGTTTGTAGATGTTTAAACTATACTTGGGTTAGTATAATGGCTGGCTGTTTAAAGAAAGTTGTAAATGGTTAGATTTCAAGTTATGTGTTGAAATCATACATCAAATTCTATATAGGTAAATGTCAAGTAATCTAAGTGTATGAGAAGTAAAAAAGAGCATTTTTGTAGGTAACAATTGGCTCTGAAGTGCTTCTTAACCAATCATGAGTGCAAGATGGAACTATCTAGTACCTAAAGATCAATGCAGTTCTCCTTAGCAGTGAAAACAGCAAATCCAGTGTAAAGATTTACTAAGAAAGGAACAAAGAACAAACAGAAACAACATTCTACTTCTGTAGAAATTCATGGGATGTATGCATCTTGAGTATTCCTTGTAGTTTGTATATCTGCATCTCAAAAGGGGTACAGTAGACTAGAAGAAGCACAAAGAGAAGCATCAAGAGGGATTTAAAGGCATGAAACAGCTTTCATGTGATCAAAAATTAAGCTGATTCGTTTTTTTTCTTTTTCTGCCTGTGAAAGAAAGACCATGAAAGAGCACGACAGGAATCTATTTAATCGTGAGGGAATAGGGAAGGGTTACTTATTACTGTCTTCCAGAGTACATGGACTGGAGAAGTAGAGTACTAAGAGCAAAAAGTGCCAGATTGAATCAGAATCAACAAAAGGAAATACTTCTGTAATTAAGCTGAGGTACTTTCTGCTGCAAGATGCTGTTGATTCTATAAAGCAAGCTTGATTAAAAAGCAAGCAGGTAGAAGAAAAAGGTAGGAAAAGCTATTAAATACAAAAATGTGTGTTTAACATATTCACCCATGGCTCAGGAAGCCTGCAGCAGATGCAAGTAGTTGGAAGCAGCGGTTGAATATGTAATAAATATTTCGGTGTGCAATTTTTTTACTTTATCCTAGACATATGTTGTTGGTTGTGATTTTCTTACTTTTTTCTCTCAGTATAGATCAGTTTCATTCATTATTTCTAAATGCATTTCCAACAATGTGAAGAAAAATGTAGTAAGAAACAAAAACACACTTATATCAAACCAAAATCAAAGCAGCTGCATAGTTTGTTATACAGAATTTGTGTGAGACAGCTCTTAATTGCAGCATTTAGGGCCCAAGGGGAATAGTGCCTTGCTTTAATGAGTGCTGTCTCCATGCTCTAGAACACCTTCACTTAAGAATACCCCATGCCATGATATTATATGAAAATCTCCATAAGGGTGGATATTGTAGGAGAGAGATCTGAAATTTTATGTAGTATGACAGAAAGTTTTTACGTAGTTGATGCTAACGTTGAAATGTCAATTTGCATGGTATGTTAATTCAGGTCAGCATCAGATGTTGAATTAAAAATCTAGCATATTATGTTGAAACTCTACTTGGGACAGTTCAGAATTATTGCTTTTATATGGAAAAATTCAATGTATGTTTGGTTATTAGGCAGGAAAATAATGCATTTTAGGACCCTTTCTTTGTGGGGCATATTAGAGAAACTTTCTGTGGTCATATTAGAGAAACTGCCCTTAAATTAATGGGTATCAGTAAAACAATTGAAAACAGTTATTACCTTACCTCAGGTCATAATTTTTAATAGCTTGCTAACTTTCTGCTAATAAGATGTTGACAGATAATTTTATTTATTTAGGGAAATAATAATCACCACTGTATTGATGGAGTTACTGATCAAATGATAGTTAAACATTGACATCAATAAAATAAATACTGGTGGAAAATACATGCATCTGGTTTACTCCTCTAGTCTGTGTTGATTAATAATTCAGCTTGAAATCAAGACTTATCTTAACTTGTTCTCATTTCAGCTTTGGATAGATCACAGTCCAAGAGAGATGGAGGTTTTAAAAGTAATTGGAGCTTTGATCATGCAGAAGAAAGTGAAGGAGATGCAGAGAAAGAGTAAGGATGCTTTTATCTAGGCTATTAAAAGTATAAATGTGTATTTATAATTGAATACTTATTTTATAATTTATGAATAAGAAACAATATATAATATCTTAAACTTTCAGTGATGAAGAAAAATTATTTAAAATGAGTGATTATTTTAAGTAGTATTGCCAAATAGGAGTTCATTATAATGTAAGCTGTATTGTGAACATGGGGCCTACAACACAGGGCACAGTACATTTCACAAGAGCTGCAGTTGTCTTTGGAGGTTTTGTGTAAATCTAAAGAACATAGACAAGCAGTATATGAACTTGTAGAATAAGGAAGTTTATAGGTAGAGTATCCAAGTAGCTTCACCTTTCCCTTCCTTTAATGATGATGTTACTCAGTACTTGACTATTGAGGTTAAAGTACTTCAGGAGCATTAGGTCTCCATCAAGTTAAAACAAGCTTAAAGATTCTAGTTTTTTCTTCTTTCATGTTTATTTCACTGAATAGAGTTAAGGCTGGGTTTTTTTTCTTATAATTTAATTCTTTACTTGGCTAAAGTTTAAATCCTGTATGCATTGCTTGAATGCGTACCTTGTCCTTGTGACATTTTATTGTTAATATGTTTTCTTGATATTAATGTATTTATTTCCAAAATGACTAACAAATTGTTAAAAGAATAAGTGTCATGCACAAAGAATTCATGTTAGTTTATTTGTTGTTCTTAGATATTCGGAGAGTAGAACCTGCAAATTTAAAAGGTATGCTGTGGTTCCCTAGTAAGACGTCACTGAATCCTGTGATTAAGTACAAAAATAATTCATATATGAATCTGTATCATCTAATATTCTGCCAAGTGCTATGCGTTGGAAGGGAGGTAGGAAAATAGACATAACCACATCGGCTGCCAACAGCAGGCTCTGCTATGTAATCTTAACAAAACTCTAAGAAATGTGAAGTTTTAGTAATTAAAGAATGAGTGGAGTTCATGAAAGTCTGAGGTAAGCATTAAGAGCTCTTTTCAAAATAGAACTGTATTGGAAGTTAAAAGCACTTTTTAAAGAGTTCACAAACTAAGGGCATTTTAATTGTATAAAATCAAGGTCGTGTTGTTCCTTAGCAACTTTATATCCATTCGTAGTGCACAGAAATATGTTTTAAGTATAAGGGCAGTACATACCATGCAGTTACTATTTCCATTTTACTTGCCTTCAGAAATAAGTCACATTTGATAACATAGCAGCTTTTTTTTCTACTAGTAATTTACTGCTGTTTTCCATCCGTCTCCAGCTGATGTTGACTTAAGAACATAGAATGAAAAATGTATAGAGTAATGATGTTAAAAAAAAGTTAGAAAAATTATTATGAAACATAATCTTTATGTAATTGTATCTGATTTTAAGATTGTACGTCTGGGTGATTTTTCATTTCTTTCAGATATTCTCTACAATAAGCAGTTTTCCCATAGCTAGAATTGAATTTTTATTGCCTACTTAGAACATTTTTTATTTGCTTTTATATCTATGAATTATGCAGAATCTTATTCTGAAGTATAGATAGAAGAGTAGTTGAAAATTGATTTAAACCGGAGATCTTGTCTTCTTCACTTACCCATTCTCTGATACCATTTGAAACAATTTCTTATTCCCTCCAAACAGCCACATGTTTTAAGCTGCCCACATATTTATTTTTGGTAACACCTGGGTTTCTTTATCTTAAAGACAGCTTTTAGCATTTTGAAATAATTTGTGTTTTTTACTTTTCTGATGCATTTTTATTTCATATAGCAACACACTGACAGAAGGGAATCTTTAGAAAACAAATAACAAAATTTCCTTTTTATTTTCTTAATTTTCTTTTCCCTTAGTAGGACATTCAAAGATTGGCAGCTTTAATTCATATAATTGTTCCAGCATAAAGCTTTATGTCCCTCCCAGTATCTTGAGCATATTCTGCAGTAAGTAGGTATTTGCTGTGGTGTGCTGATACTTAGTAAAAAGCTTGACTCTTGCATGTTTCTTTGTGGAGAAAGCTGTGAGTCTGAAGTAAGCAGCTGGAGGCATCTCGTGCTTGTTGTGGAGGCACTGGTGTTACAGTGCCTGACTTTATAAAAGCTTTTTGCCCTCTTAATGGCAGACACACAATAGGTTTGTTTTGAACTAGCCTAAGAATAGCATCTCAGCACTTAAAGGAGTGGCTGTATTCTTGTACTACACCATGAGATCTGTGCTAATGATGTTGGTCAGCACTGGATGCCTGCTTGGATGATCTTTTTTTCAGTGAGATGAACACAAAGTGTGTGTTCAATGACCTCCTAACACAGCAACTTTTAGAAAAGGTAGATTATTTTGAAAGAAGGGTGTCATTTAACTTATTTGGAAATAGGTGAGGTGAGTCATAATGGTTAAGATATCAAGTAATGAACTGAAAAAAATTAAAAAATATTAATTAACTGAAGAAGGTTTGGAAAATTAATGATCACCCAACACTATATAAATTTAAACTGATTTAAGTTGATACTCAGCATGGAACAAGAGTTATAGAAATTAAGAATGATAATTAGCAAGTATCTTATCCCAAAGCAAATGCCTACAGATAATACTCAGTCCACTTGAAAGAGTAAAAGTATAATTTTTGATGTTCTAAAAGATTTGATCTACTCAGGATGGTAGCAAGCGATGTGAGACTTTTCTTGCTTTGTAATTGGAGATTCCATAGGAGATCTCCCTTTATGTAGAACAATAGAAAAAAAGACTAGTTGGTCAGCAGAGCATTAAGCTGATCTTACGTAGCAGAAGATATGAAAGGACAGCAGACTTAAGCAAACATGGCCAAAATAATACATTCAAGTGATTATTGAAATTAACGTGTTATAAGATGCTTTCTGGTGTTACAGATAATTCTCTTGAAGTGTCTTGGATAATTTATATTTACATCCTTTGTAATATCTCTGTAAGTGTTTTTGAAATATATCAGTATACTTCACAGTGATTTTGTAAATGAATGGGCCCAGATTACTCTTGGCTGTCATACTGTTTTCTTAATAGTCTAGACTTCTGCCTTCCACTGAGATAACAGCAGTCTTATCAAAAACAAGGAATATAAATAAATGGGTCTAATTTATTTGCACTACACTGTCTTTATTTAACTATTGCTTTCTTTCAAAAAGATTTATTTTTTTGTCCCTTCCATTTAGGGGAATAAACCTCTTTTTTCCATGTATTGACAAATGGAAAAGCATTGTACTGTGTTATATATTTACATTGAGCTTTTTCCACTGCTTATAAAATTTGTATTTCTTTGTCAAAAAACCCATCCCATAGTTATATAGATGTTTCATACATCTTTCATGAGCCTGTTAGTAGGGCATTATAGCCTTTTAATTGGTAAAAACTTCTAAAATTAAGGCTATTTTTAATGGAATGTCACTGTAATTGGTTAATACTGGTACTTCTTATGTGCCTCTGATAGTGCAGCTTTTTTAGTGTGCTGCCTACCGCTATGTAATTTAAAACAAAGAATGTACACAGTGTGCTGTCAGGGCAAGTACGTCAACCTCCTGGTTTTATATATAATACTTTTCAGAAAGAAATTCCAATTATGTTTGAAATGTGACTGGATCAGTTGGTAGTTGATAGAAATGTGCTTGCAGCTTAGAGTGTAATCTCAATGGTCAACAGAGGTTTAAAGTTTGGGTTGCTTCTAGATAGTAGTGAAAAGTAGCCTATTAATCTCAGCTGTCTAACTAACTATTGCATAGTTCTTAATGTTTTAAAACACTGAACAAATAGCAAGTGATTAGAGGTAAGTAAATAGAAATTTTTGTTTTCTTGTTCAATGCCTAAATTTGAATGTGTTATTATTAACTCCCCTTAAGAACTCTGTTTAGGTGAATTATTTCTGGTTTTTTTCCTTGATATTAGTGAAGACTTAACATTATTTATTATGAAATTTTAAGGAATGTATTGAAAAGTTAGAAACTAATGTTCCAATGTGAAAATAACCAGGAAACTCATGGTTCCCCAGTTAAAAGTGACACTGTGGAGACATTCTCCCAGCAAGACAGCTGAAGTTTCATTTTAGGGATGTTAAAAATGTTACTGACTGGTATGTCGGGGGAGTGGTATAATGTTTGTTTTGGGTTGGTTTGGATTTTTTTTCCTGCCTGTATAAATTGCATCATTGAAGCAGGCAACAGGAAGCATGTGATACATGAGCAAATAGACATTGCTTGGTTGCTAGGTACTCTGCTCTCTGAAAAAACAACCTTTCTGGTTCTGATGCATAGACTTCGCATTCCTTATGATCTAAAAGTATTGGTTCATTTAAAACTTCCAATTTGCTAATACTGCTGTAGTCATGCTGCATGATAAGGGTTACTCTTGTTAGTTGATTTAAGCCTTGGCTCAGTGTTTTGGTCATTTGCAATTCGTTAACCTTCTCTTACCTCCCCCCTCAGTTGCCCTTTGTTAAAATGGTTGTAGTATTGAGGCATGCTGAAATTGTAAAAGTGTTGCCACAGTACGAAGGTGTTTTGAAAATAGTCATCATTTTTATATTAATTGAACCTTAAGAACAAAAAACATTTCTAGAGGCGAAATGATGTGACTAGGGCAGCACCATAGGCAAATGGCAGAGCTGCAGGTGCTGTAGGTTGCTGCTCATGTCTGTGCTGCAGGGCTTTGTTTATTTTTTGGAATGTGGAAAATTTCTGAAATTATGGAACTCTTTGTCTACTGATGAATGTCTGAGAAGGCTCCATGAGCCTCCCTTGAAAGGATGATTTGTTCTGAAAGAGAATTCTAAAAAAATGTTGCAGGATGTAAAAATTTTAATAGCTATGTGTAGTCTGTGCAAAAGTACAACTGTACTCTTTTGCCTTTGTTTGAAATTAGTGATGAATCTACTACACTGTTTTACCACTGACACCTAGGATTGTGGTGCTCTGTTACTAAAAGGAAAACACAACAGTGCCACTGGCTATTTGGATATTTGCATAATTCTTCCCATTTCAAAATTAACTGTGTGCATGATTTTATGTCCTCAAGTTTCAGAGTCTGCAGATCTCCCCCAACATTTTTATTTTATTTTTATTTGCTGTAGGGATGTTTGTATTGCATAAGATGAGAGAATAAATTGTAACATGAAGGGAAATATTATGCATGGAAAAAGTTGTTAGGAACTTGAGAGATGGGGCACTGAGTGATTAGTTTATTTATATAGGAAGAGCTAAAGGCACTATGTATTGTAAGCCAGCATGTCAAATTGACACAGCTAAGAAATGTTTGTTTCTTCTGTGTAGCTCTTCCTTTTTAACACCTGGCATAACTGCTTTTATTTTAAGGAATTTCTGCCTGAATTATCTTGATTAAATGTTTTAAAGTCATGCAATTTCAAATTGGATACAAGTTGTGTTGTTTTGTTCTAGTCAACATAAGAGTAACCTTAGCAGGGTTGATGAGAAGGGCTTGTCTGTAGGTTGCTTCTGGAAGCTAGAGTATGTTCGGCTAATCTAGCTGCTGTCAGTATGAAATGTGTGATTGGGGTTTCAATTTAAATACTTAAGATTACTTGAGGATAACTACTTGTTACTGAAAAGAATGTTTTTAGAGTATCATGGAGTGGCTTTCTTTTTTTTTTTGTCTTCTTCCCCATTCTAATTGTTGGGGTTTACAGATGTTGAAAGTGCTAAAGAAACACATTTAAATAAGCAGTAGAACCAAACTGAATATATTCTTTTTAGGAATACATACTTCGGTAGAAGTTTCTGTGGGGTAGAATGTAGTTACATTAAGTTCTTCAAAGTACTATGAAGTTTGCAGTTTTAAACTACATACTTGAAAATTGATAGGCATAAAAAACCAAAAAAGATCATATTTTATAGTTTAATGAAGTTTTTGACTCAATTTATAAGGAGAGTATAGAATCTTTTATAGTGTCAGTAATATTGTAACCTTATGAAGGTTTGATAGCATTTTCTATTTTGAAATAATCCTTTTAGTTTTGCTTTTTGCCAAATTATTTGATGTACACTCTTAAGTTCAGGTTCACATTATGCATCTGATCACTCTGTTGCTTATTTCATGTTCCTGTTGTTTTATGCATATTACCTGTCTAGCGAGGCAAATCTGCTCAGTTTAGATGACAGTGATGGGTCTTTCAGTCCCAATGAAGAAAAAAAGGTAAATAATCAGTTTATCAAGTGGTGAAAATGTATCTTTAAAGCTTTTTAGGTTCTTAAACAGTATTGCATAGCCATGTGTGCAGTGTAAAGAAATGAAAGCTTCTGTTGTGTTTTAGGAACATATGCTCAAGCTGTTTATCTGCCTACCCTTAAAGTTTTTGTTCCCCTCTTGATTTCTATAGTATTCTGAAAAATATGACCAAGAATAACTAATTCTAAGTTTAGACAATTATCATAAATACTGTACTAAATATAAAATATATTGTACTTTGTTTAGTGAGAAATCATAGTATGGGTGTAAACAATGTACATTTTCAGTGAAATTTGGTATAAAGGTAGTTTGAAAATGAAGCCGAAATAATATTTATATTCATCTTTTACATTAATTTTCTCCTTCCAACTTCTACCCAATCATACAATTGTTTTAATATATGTGAATTCTGTTGTGACAGTCAATTCGTTGTCGACCTGGAACTCTTGGCACCAGCAGCGATGCCATAAAAGCATATACAAGGCGAGGCAAAGCTGGAGGTTTCAAACTTTTAAAAGGGAACGCAATCGGCCTCAACATGATGGGAAATAGCAAGAAACTGAGGTAATACATTGAATTTGTGTGTCCTTGCTTTGATCATTGATACAAATCAATACACGATAAACAGAACTTCTAGTCCATTTACGTTGTGTGCTGTGCATTTTAATAAGCTGTACTGTACTGTGCTTCTGTGTAAAAAGGGAAACCTAGATTGTTAGGGTCTTTCCTACCCAACATGGGTACCTTACCTATGTTGTCTGTGTGTGTTATTGTTCCCTCTATACACTGAGAGTAGGCAGGAAAACATTTTTTACATCCCCATGCAGATTTTCTTCTTCACGTGACTGTGAAAGGTCAAGGCATTTTCTGGTTTTCTTACTGCAGGACATAACTTGATTTTGGAATCACAGACCTTTTGTTAAAGGATTCAGCAAATACCCATACTTGTATGGGATAGCTTGAGACTGTCATTTGTGTTTAGAGATGACAGGAACAGTTTTTAATCATTCATTGTTGTACTTGCTTGTTACTAATGTCCCTAGTTTGTAAGAGACTGATTTCTTTATGTAGTGCATAATAAAAAGTGATATAGTCACCTAACTTTCTCAGGGAATGTTTCATACTGTTAAAGTGCGCTCAGTCTGGTAACCTTTGCGGGAAGGAAAAGTTTGTAAGATACCCACCTATAGATGGGCCAGTCCTCAACTATCCAATGTATATGTAGCTACATGAGGGATGTCCTTGTCTTCATTTTGGTGGTCTATCACCATCTGAAAGCTAAACTCCAAATGACCCTTCTAGCCCCCTCCAGTAGGAGAGGGACATGGGAAGAGACTATGGGTTAAGATAACCATTTACTGAAAGCAAACAGCAGTGGAGTAAGAAATGCACAGTGACAGAGGCAATATTAATAACAAAAGCATACAAAAATAAAGGAAGGTGCTTTATGCACAAAAGGTATTTGCCACTTCGAGTTAGTTCTGTGTGGCCAGTGGGAGAAAGACAAAACGGTAGGCATTGGGCACTCCCCACACCTGGCTCTCCCCATTCCCAAGCCCGAGCCAATGGAAAACAATGACTGACAAAACCCTGAAAGTGAGATCATCTATGTTGTGCTGCTCCACTGCACCAGGCTTGTGTTCATGCTCAGCTCAGAGGCTCAGTTCTGCTGCTGCTTTGGGCCACTCTGCTGGGCTCAGTTCCACACACCTCCACCACTTCTTCAGAGCCACATCCCAAAGCCTTGTTCACTGCTTTTCAGAGCCACATCCTGCAGTCACATCTTGGAGCAGTGGGAAGGTGGTGAGTGGCAGCAGCAGAGGATGGGGTCTGCAGGGCTGATCCCAGCAGCTCAGTCCTGATGAAGAGAGTGAGACAAAAATGGCACACTTCTGGGAATATGGTCTTTATTCTTCCCCCTGACACCATGACCCCCAGCCATGATTTGAGAAGTGAAGAATAGCAATGTAGCTGTGCTTGCAAACTCTAGCTCCCTGCTGCAGTCAGGACATGGCTTGTGTATGCTGTCAGCACTATTAGTTAGTGGGACCGTCTTACCATAGTAATTTGAAAAAATAAATCCTTGAAGTTCATTGTGATACATATTCTTTCCTGCTGTTCTGCTCTTTGAGCCTGATGTCTTGTGATAAACTACTGGAAAAAATTTGTTAAAGACAAGGGCTTTTATTATAGTTTATTTTTACATTTATACAAATTAGTATGGTCCTTCATTTTCCTTGATTTAACTGTGCAAATAATGTTTCATCTTTAGATTTTATTTAATTTTTTTTGTATAAACAACAGATCTATAAGATAATACCCAGTTTTCATCTTCAAATTTGCTAGTTCTTACAGAATCATCCTGGTCATTTCCATTCTTTAAGATTCTGTTCTTGAACATAGACATAAAGGTAAAAGTAACAATTACAAATCTGTCAGGGCTCCTTTACTCTGTTTTACTATTGAAGAAACCTGTGTATCTACATTACACTTGTTCTTTGTTCTTTGTTTTGAGTACACCTTTAAAATAAGATTCCTCTACTTCTCTGGTAGCTCTGGACTTTTCCTTTGTGTGGCTGTGGAATTTATAGTGAAGTCCAACCTTACCATGTAATTTTTTTCTGTTAAAGCAGTCATACCTGACTGTACATTGTATGTTTTTATTAAGTTCCAGAAGGGTATGCAGGTTGTGTTTTAAGGTAAATAGTTACTGAGGGTTTTTTTTTAGATGGTCTAAGCATGTAGTTCAGACATTCTGTTACCTGGATTGGAACCCCCTTCTACTGACAAATAATGCAATGTAAACCTAGGATCTAGTAGGATTTATAAAATTCAACTACAAAAGTAAAATCTGTTGCATGTAAATCGGCATCCACCTTTTATCTAGTACTGAGCTGCATACTGAATTTAAATGAAGAATATAACCATCCACCCTCTTCTTAATAGACTATTATTGATGAAGGACTTTGTAATGAGTAATGGATGTGTATAGGCTACTGTGACTGCTTCTTACATTTTGGTCACTGCATTTTGTTGTTATGCTCCAAGTGATTATCTTGATTTAATTACTTCATTGGGATATTGTTGTACCTTTCATAATGTATATCAGTAAAAGTTTGTGATCTAGTCACTTAGTGATGATTGCCGGTTTGTTCTCTTTGATATGCAGAATGGAAGGGGCTTAATGTTGCTCTTTCAGTATTTAGACTCTTCATCTAGAGAAGATTCTGAAAGTTGATCATGCAGTTAAGATGCTAGATTAAATACAAAATGATCAGATACTTTATATTCTTCATCTTTTCATGGTGATTTTTATCACAATGTTGGAGTCCTTTTTTTCCGTGTTATCTGCAGAATAGGGATGAAAAATTCCAGATCAATGGGGCTTGACTCAAATGAGTTATTCTGGTAGAATAGTCCCTAAAATTTAGAGAATAAGAGATAGAAAGAAGGGATATGCAAGGACAGTGAGAAGAAATATTTGCTGTACTTGTCAGAGAAATTTAAACCAAGCAAAAGGTCATGATCTGTTACCTGGTTAAGCAAATGCAGTATCAAACTTTTAACCTAATTAGTTTTGATTGTATTTTTTAATCATGAGGTCTTTAAATAGCTTTATCTTTGCCAGCTTTCAGTAACTTTTATTAAGGCACTTCTAGATTTTCTTTTTTGTTAAAAATGTTATTTGATGAACAGCATAATTAGTGTGTGTAGTGTTTTTGAAGTGTTGTTCATTTAGTTCTAGTTCCATCCATTTGCCCCGTGCAAGATTTTTTGTTTTGTCCCTTGAATATGTAGTGTTAAGAATTTCCTAGGATCAGCTGATAGCACGTGATAGTGAAACTTTGTGTTCGTCAGAGCCTGGGCTTCAAATCATTCTGTGGTTTCTGAGCTAACATTAATGAAACATTTAGTGTTAAAATACTGTGAGTTCTTTTTAGAATATTTTTTCTTTCAAGGAACTTTCTGACCATTACAGACAGCACCCTGCTTTTAGTGTGTTATACTAATGTTCAAAAAATTGTGCTGAAACTTGTGAACTCAGATTTCAGTTCTGATGTGCCTGTTTTGCAACTCACTAGGACTTCAATTGTATTTTCCAGTGTTTCTGTCTGTGTTGGGTAAGTTCCAATCAGAGAACAAGATTGTAGAGCAGATTGTGTTTTACAGCTGTCCTAGTTGGAAACATGTCTGACACCATATGAACCATTTAAGTGTGCCATCTAGAACAGTCTGCTTTGACTCAAATCTGATCCCTGAGCAGTCTGCGATACTCCATTCCAGCATCTACTTGAGTTTTCACTATGTGAGTGTGAGGCAAAAACCAAAAGTGCTGCTTAACAGGTTTTTTTTTCCCTTCTGAGGGGCACAAGACAAAGTTTCACAATCATGATAATTTGGCAAAGGTCAGATCCAACAAACATGATGGTAAAACAGGAGATACATAGGTTTGCTTGCTTATTTGAAGTCCTTAGGTCTAAAGCATTTGAGAAGGCATTCCTGCGCTCTGCTTCTGTTTTTTTTTTCTAGTATCTTTTTCAAAGACATGAAATGCGAAGCCAAAGAGGATTAGAGACATTCTAAAGTATTTAGGGCAAGTAGCTGTCAGCTTTTTATTTCTGAGGTGGCAAATTAGACAGAAGGTTGACTCTAGATAGGTCTGGATGATGACTGACCAGCTAAAATTGCATAGCCTTGACTAAGAAGCATATGAGATGAGTGTGTTTACTGTCAGGAGGTTAGTGTTTGCTGGTTGGTTGGTGTTTGTTAATTTTCATGATGTTGGACTATTTACTCGGATGGGTTATGATGTTTTTAAACTTTGTATTGTAGAAAAGAGAATTTAACCTCTTGGGTTTCTTAAGTTTGTTCTCTTAACATTTGCGGTTATGTTTGGGGTGGTCAGAAATGCTCTGAAAGCTTCTAATCTTGGCTCATGTAAGGTTACCAAAAGGGTTTGTAAGCTAAACTGAAAATTAAAAAGCAGTTTTAACTAACAGTTTACTTGTGTTTTTCTTCTGAGGAAATGTAAAGGAGGGATTATGAATTGCTTGTCAGCTTTCTTTGAACTGTGGTACTTGGGGATTTCTTTTCATTGTGCATAGCAACAAGGACAAATGGCATGATAATATTTCTGAGAAATATTGTTAGTACGAATGCTTTTTCGCATAATTTTCTCTAGTGTAATTAATTAAAACAATTTGAAAAGCACAATTTAAGCACTGTGTATCCATAATTTGAAAGAGTTTGCATCATCAATGTGCTGTCTGTTAAAAGTTGTGTGATTTTTGAACATTTCAAGCATAGTATTGTGTGTCCTGTCACAGCAGCATGCAGGATAATTCTTAGGGTTTAATGATCTCTGAAGGAGCACTGTCTTATTGATCTAGTTAGTATAGAGGGTAATGGTAAGAAATCTTCTCTCTGTAATTACTGGTTTTACATAATAATGAGATAAAAGTCAAAAGGTAACAAATTAAGAGACCCTAGAAATGCTAAGATGTATTGGTGAATAAGAGTCCTGTTGAGATATGAGTACCTGAGAATCCTTCCTTTATTCTTTTTGAAATGTGTTGATTTTTTTCAGTTACAAGTCACCTTGAATCCATAAATTTGCTGTGTTTACTTTTTTTTATGAGGGATATTCTTGAATTCGGTGTGTTCACATTTTGCCCCTTAAGTCATATTAAAGAAGTTAATATTGTGCCTTAATAAAATGAGAGATGAAGGTATAAAATTAGTTATAAATGGTTACAAGTTCTTAAAAAAGGCAATGTCTTTTTTCAGTACAGGGTTGAGTAAATAAATCTTTACCTTCCTGGAAAAAAAAATTGTGTGTATTCTTATATGTCCATTTTAATATAAAGCTGAATGGTTTATGCCTGTAAAAGCATCCTAACAATGTGTATTATTGCTTCAGAAATACTTTAATACTTGGTGTTGTGTGGCTGGTTTTGTAAAATTAGGATGCCACGTGTTTTACCTAAGACTGTACAAACACACCAGAGTCTTTTCTTAAACATTTTTCTGTATGTTTGCAGTGAAAATGCTCAGAATATATCAGGTCCTGTGACTGTGGTACATGGCAGACGTTTTCACCACGCACACGCACAGACAACTGTAGTAAAAACAGCAGCCCAAAGGTAAGACTAATTACATTTGTTGCTCCAGATGTTTCAATTGTAAAAAGTCCTCTCTGGTTTTGTATGTCATGTATGTTATGCTTATCCTTATGCTATGAAGTGTTTTAAGAAAATGTAAGTAATCACATGAGTGCATTCTTGATTATGAAAGCTTTGACCTTAATTACTAAAGTTTCATAAAACCATTTAGGAATTATTATCATAATACTAGAATTTAGTAATTTTCAAGAACACTGGCAGGTAGTAGGAGGGCACCTGCTAATATGAATATTTTGAGAAAATGCCTTGACATAGACAAACATAGTTTGCAGTAGAAGTCCACATAACTGACAACGTGATCAGCAAATACAAAGTCACAGCAAGTCCAGCTTGTGTAAGATCCATGTAAACATTAAACCATAGATCTGAATATTGTGTATAGTCTGTAAATATAGTGTAAAACATATAAATTGGAACAACTAACAGAAGCAAACCTTTGTATCTATGTAAATGATTTTTAGAAGGGATGACTGGAAACAAGGGAATCTTATGGAACTATGCTGAATTGAACTTCATTGGTTTGAGACTTAAAATCCTGTAAAACCTCTGTAAATTGCAGGGTTGATTCTAGTTATTTTTTACACCCAGTATGTTTCACAAACATGAGATAGCAACTGTTTTAAGGAATTTTATTTCAAAGTTTATCCATTCAGAGCTCTTTTTGTTTGTGAATTCTGTGTATTTCCACCATTCCTCATGAGTGCTGTATCCTGTCTGCATTTTATAGCTTCCTTCTTCTGCTGCCTTTTTTCTTCTCTGTTTTTTAGTATAGATTTTTTAGGGTGGTGGGATTTGTATACAGGCATTATAATTTTTTTTGTTTTTCATCCTGCTTCCCTCAGTTGGATTCGCAGACTTCAGAAAAAGAAAGCTCACATACTAATGTGAATGCATGATGTGATCCAAGCATGTATTAATCTGTCATTGAATAAATAGAATAGATAGAAAAAGGAATTTTGCAGTTACAAAATAACAGTTTGGGCTGGAGGGGACTTGAAAGGACATCTAGTCCAACCCCTCTGCCATAAGCAGGGATATGATCTTCAACTGGGTGAGCTTTCTCAGAGCCCCATCCCACCTGACCTTGAATGTTTGCAGGGGTGGGGCAGCTACCAGGTCTCTGGTCAGTGTGTTTCAGTGTTCCACCACCTCATTGTAAAACACTTCTTTCTTCTATCTAGTCTGAATCTACCCTCTTTTAGTGTTAAACCATTACCCCTTGTCCTATTGCAACAGGCCCTGCTAAGCTGTTTGTCCCCATCTATCTTTTAGGCCCCCTTCAAGTACTGAAGTACTGTAAGGTCTCCCCAGAGCCTTCATTTCTCCAGGCTGAACAACCCTACTCATGCAGCCTTTCCTCACAGGAGAGTTCCTGTCTTATCTTGTCCTTGAGGACTTAGGTTGTTGCCTTTTTGTGTTTCCAACAGTGCTAAAGTCTGTAAATGGTATATAGGTATATGTATGGTATGTAGGAGGGACATTTCCTTCCTCTTAGTAATAGCAGATGCAGTGTCTCTCTTTTCAATTATTTACATTTCTTGCCATCAGTGTGAGGCTGATGACTAAAAAGGATTGACAGTTTTTACCATTCATTAAGCTGAAAGATGGGGTTTATGTTATCATTGTGGTTTAGGCTGAATCAGCTGTGCTTTCTCTTGCATGACGTCCCTTTTAGAATATTTTTGTTCAGTGTCCTATTGAGGAAAATGTGGGGCATCTCTAAGCATTCATGCTCTTGCCTTTCTGGTGGGTTTTGTTTGTTTGTGTGTGTGCTTGCTTTTGTTTATTTGTGGGGGTCTTTTGGGGAGTTGTTTGTTTGTGGGGTTTCTTGTAATTCTGAAATTTTTATATGCAGTGCTAATGAAAATGATTTAAGCAAAATCATGCAAGACTGCTCTGAATGTTGATTTGATAGTACTCATCTACTTGATTTGAGTTTTGTTGTGAAATGATTTTTCAAACAGCCAGTCAAAATGGATTCATCTTACCAAGTTCAGTGCCATAGGTTTCTTAAACCTGCTCCAGAAATTCTTAATCTTCAGGGGATATTAGATTTGCCTACTTGCCTTTCTTGCCTGTGGAATTTACTTCTTTATAAGCCTACAATGTAATGTGAAGAAAAAAAAGGTAGTGACTTGGCATGTGTGACATGCAGAAAGAAAACTAATGCATAACATAGGCAAGCTGCATATTGTGTGAAGTAATTGGATAGTAGTCATCTTGAGTGTTCTAAATATGCTTTCTTTTAGGATTGTTATTGTAGTTCATTTATATTAGCAACAGACAATTAACTCTAATGCTAGGAATATTTTTGGAGTTTTAAAGGCAGGAAATAGTCATAACAATCCCAAGCAGTGCTTTGTTACTGGAGGATATCAGAACCAGCATGATCTAATTGACTGAGGGTGAGCTTTACATAGGAACTTTGCAAATGGTGTTTAATTCCAGTAGCTTCTGACTCAACTAATTGCTTTTTAAAAGCTTCTAAATCTGTTTTGGAGTTAGAGGATTGAAAATTAATAAAATGCGGCTTCCTGACAGACTTTTTTTTTAATAAATAAAAAAGAGAAGTTTCAGGGCTATTTGCTGTTGAAAACATAGGTTTCTGAGTGAGAAGGCAATAGTCAGAAAAAAGCCAACTAAAATAGGACTATTTAAAACTGACCATAATGTGAAATTCCAGACCTTCTCAGGTTGGTAATATAATATATTTTACTTGTGTAGGAATTTTTTGGTGTCCTTTTTTGACTAGTCTTTACTGACATTAGGCAATAGTTGAGTTTAAAAGTAAATGCTGGCAGTGATTCCTCAAAAAGGACTATTTGCAGAAAATGTGAGTGGCAAACCAAGAATAAAATTCTAGCTATATATCAAGACAGAAGAGCTGATACCATGGAAATTGAACTCTAAATTGATTTGTTTTGTTTTCCTATGCTAATTTGCAGGAGACAAAAAGTTATGTTCTGTTAATTTTTTGCATTTGTAGATCATGTTATGGTGTGGTGATCAGTAACAACATGGGGAAAACAATTTTATCTAACCTAATACATTGTACTTAAATCATGGTAGGTTCTTGAAAGGATAACTAAAAATAAAAACATTATTAAATGAGTTGAGCAATTTTAGTCTCTGGCACTGACGTAACAGATTCTGTTACTTACACTGAGTTCTTTGGGTGGGGATGGTGTCACATGGAGCAAGCTGATTATGAACCCAGTTACAGTCTCTATCACGTTTAATTTGTGTATGATTTGTACTGCATTTCTTATCTCCTGCAATTTTTTTGCTCATGCATGTTAATTTAAAGTCTGAGTATCTGTTGCACTCATTTGTAAAATGCAAGTTTCTAGCACAACAAAACTTGGTATTTCATAATAATATTATGATAAATATTCATGGGGTTTTTTTCAGTGGAATCTGGGGATTAAATTAAAATTTGTTCATTTCTGATAACGACAGATTTTCAGATATAGCTTGCCCTAGTGTTGTAGTTGGTTCACACTATTTTGCTTCATTTAATGGATGCACAGTTCTGTCTTATGCTATTGACTGACTGTTCTTCTAGACTTGGCATTGAAACAGCATGTATGTACCGCATGTTTAACAAATCTTATGCATGAGCTGCATGAAGCAGTTAGTAGGGACAGTAATCAGTCTAGAATTCTCACCTCTTAATCTTCCTGAGGTATAAAAATGAGAATTCCTTTAAATGCATTAGATTGGTGGAGAATTTTAAACCAAACAAATAAGGCATCTAATGAAATGACAGTGCATAATATCAGGCATTCTGGAAATTTTTTTCCTGCCTTTAAGTTTGCATTAAGTATGTGCCCCTTAACAGGCTCTTTGAAGTACTTGTAAACAGTTAATTCAAGTTATATATTAACTGTGCCAAGGATGCAAAGATACTGGATATAGCTTCATCCAGACATGGTTTGGATCTGACTGGATTGATAAACTGTGATGTGACCTGCACAAAAGCAGCATTTATTGCTAGCAAAGAGTAGCCCCAACTAGGAGCAGTTCTCCTCCACCTTCACACAGCACTGGCTCATTACCTCCCACCCCAGTTTTAATGTGACTGTATTGCCACAGTCACATTGAATTTTGAGAATTTTGAAGTCCTTTTGCTCTCTTCCCAGAGCACTATGGAGTACCAGAGCACTTTCATACTGCACTCTCTAGGATTATCAGGACTACATTCTTATCTGCTTTGCTTCCACTCCTGCTGTTTTCTGAGTAACAAGAGAATTAGTTTGCTCTGTTCTTGTGAGCACACTGTTTGTGAAAAGGAGGATGAGTTTTTATTACTGTATATCATTACTCTGTTTAGTTTGGCTGAAGTGAAACAGGAAACAATTTGAATTTGTTCTGTTTTAGAATACAGTTAATGTAATGTATGTCTGAAGTCTGTTAGGCTTTTGATATTTGGGAGGAACAGTCACATAGGTTAAAAGCTTACAGCATTCCATATTGTAAATTTTGATATGACAGAAGACATGTAGATGCTATTTTCAAGTTGTCTGTGTGCTAAGCTTAGTTAGATTTATTTTTATATCAGTTTTGGTATACAAAGGACCAGAACTGTGAGCATCAGCTACATTCATTTCTATGTTAACTCGTCATAATGGAGATACTTGTAAAACTAGTGGCCCTAGTTCCTAGGTTCTTTTGGGAGATTATTTTTTTGCCTAAACCTCAGAAGGAGGTTTTCATTTATCCTTCTCTAGCCTTTCCATGTGCTTTCTTAAGTATTTAAGGACTGCTGATGAAATTTGTTTCTCAATTTAAACACATATTTTTTAATAGTTGGAAACAATTCCTTATATAATATTTTTCTCATTTGCATGGCAGTCAGGGATTGTTTTAGTGGTTGATCTCTGTCTTAGAAGTCTTTTCCAACCTACATGGTCCTGTGATTGGAAATGAGACTTGATAATAAGTCATGTATTAGAATTCTTCTTACTGGCTTCTGCATTGCAAGTGAATTGAGATTCACCAGTAAATGTACTATTTAGACCACTGACTGTTGCTGTCTGTAAAGTAGTGTTTGTGCATTTCTAATTACTTTGACAATAATGTGGTGAAAAAAATTATAGTTGCTTGTTTGAAATCTAGACTGGTGAGTGAAAGACAATGAAACAGTTACAATTTATATTTAATAACTTTTGCATTTAGTGATGTGCAACACATGTGGGGCTTTACATCTTATGTGTTTTTTTCTTTTTTCATATTTTAAGCAATCTGGACCGAAAGGAAAGGTAAGCTTACTGTTGATCAAATGAGCATGGCAATAAGCATTATGAAAATTAACTGATTAAGTGCTGTATTAATGCTAGTTAAAGAATATTCAATCTAGTCAATCATATCTGCTCATGTGTGGTAGAGTTTGATTGTTTTTAGTTCTGTTTTTATGGTTCATTTACTTGCTTTTATTGAAAAAGGACCTTTACATCCATCTCTAAGTAATGCTGTGTTGCTCTGAATTTTGGATAATTTTCCACCAGAAATTTATTTATATATCTAATGCAAAATTGCATAAATATTCTCTGGATTTTAAGAATTCAGTGCTAATTCTTTTTGTAGAGCAGTGAACTTTTTATAATAGAATGGTTCTGAAGCACCTTAGTAAAATTATTCTGAAGCTCTTAGTAGGCTGTTTAACAGCTTTCACTCTATCATCTCAGCTTGGTTTGAAAAGCATTAAAGGTTTTTATTGTATTATTGTGTATATTTTGTTCACGAAGTGCATATGTTAAAGCTGTTAATAGAGAATGTATAGCAAAACCTGGTACACTGGGTTTTTATTGTTCATTTCAGGCTAATTTCTCACTTGTTTTGCATCTGGTTTACTGCTGTTAATATTTTGTTAGCACTATGAAATAGTATGCATTTATTTTTCTTCATATATAGCTTTAATTTATATAGTAGTGGAAATGTTTTCTTCGTAGTAATGAACTCACTGAGTTTTTGTAAATATCCTGTCTGTGTAGGTGACTTTTAGCAGTATGAGCTTGATACCAGGTTGAATTGTTTAAAAGTATATATGATGTTTAACTAATAATGACATAAATAGCACAGTTCTTAGTGAATTCAGGATTTTCTAGATTTATTTCAAATTCAGAAAAGCCTTTCTGTTCTACTGCCTTTTGTTACTTCTTAAAAGAACTATCAAATAGATACTCATCAGCGAGTTAGTGTCACTGTATGGCATAGAAGAAAAGGTTTGAGTTCCATGCTGGTGTGATCTTAATTTTCTCACGGGGACACCTGCTGCTTCTTCATCCAGTACTACTGGATATGTTCCTTTTTCTTTGCCTGCTTTTTGTTGTTGTCCTAGCAGGGGAAGATGATGTAGGCAGGAGCTGCTAAATTTAGCTTTAATCATTACTGTCATGATAAGTGCAGCAGCAGCAGCTCCTGACTTTCTGGGCCAAATGGGGTTGCTGACCTGTGTTCTGAAAACCCTATTCCCTGTGCTGCTGCTTCTCTTCTCAGCCTTTGGTTTTACTCTGCTCCTGCTCTAACACATGCTGAAGGTAAATCTCACCTCAGCAGCTTTGTGCTTCAATCTTATTGTGCTTTACACTCTTTTTGTGTAATGATGTAGAAACCAACAGCCTGCCTGCAGTGATACATCTCCAAATCAGTGCATGCAGAAGTAGAGGAAAGGCTGAATAAGGCAGACTGTCAAAGAGCCAGGCTGTCCATTAAACACAGCTCTTGTGTAAGCCTGCACCTCAACAAAATTAGGGCTTGGTGCAGCCTTTTTGATGTGGCTTGTACCAAATCATAGCTAGCACTGTCTCCCAAATTCCCAGATCCAGATGTTTCTTTGTGTTTGTTTTCTGGCATAGCCAGAAATTGTGGGCCTGCCTCTTCCCCTCATTTCCCCCTTCCCTCCCCCACTTTTTTGTTTTCCTAGAGATGAAATTTTAAGTGAAAATGTCACTTTATCTAGAAAGTTTTATAAAGGTCTGTCTACCAGGCCAGTGTGAAGATACTAAAAATCCAATTCTGTCAACAAGAGAATATAGCAGTAATAATGAATGTTTGCTGAAAATACGAAATCGGTGACAGCATTTTGTCTGGGCAAAACATGCTTACTCAAGAATATTGTAGCATTTAGCAGGTAAAATATGTCAAAAGTTCATTATGCTTTCCAGGAAGTCCAGACTGCCTGCCTCAGTGTTTCAATCCTGTGTGTTGCAGAAAAAGCTTGATCTTCCTTGCTCCTGTAATTAATGTTTTTCTGTTTGATGCTTTACTACTTCCTGAGATTGCTTTTTATCAAATACATGTCTACTTCCCTTGTACCTAAAGATAGTAAAAGTGCTTATAATGTAGAGATAAACAAGATGCCTAAAATGGTTTCACCTCTGAGCATTGTTTTTTTTAACTGTTAGACACAGTATATAGCTAATCTTGCATCTTGATCAGCTCAGCTGTTTGATCCTTCAATTGTTCCTGTTGAAATGGAAGATATAGCTTTGGCCAGGGTTTAACAGCAAGAAGACATTTGTTTTGAAGTGCTGTATGTTTTTAAAACTGTTCTAAGATTTTTTTTCTTTTCCAAAAAGTCCTTTTAAAGGTGAATACAGTATTTTATTTAAAAAATAACCAGTTTGCTTTCTCTTTCTGCACTCACAATTAAATGGCTCAGTGTATTAAGTATTTTACTGGAGAAGGTATTAATGGATCTGCAGCTGTTCAGGCAGCAACAAACATTGTGCTTAGAAGGGCAATTTTGTTTTCTAGTCTGTAAAAACTTCATGGTGTTGTGCTCTCCCTTTCTCTTTGTGGGTTTTTCAGGAAAGGAAAGTCGTAGAAGGTGGCTAAAGTTGCTGCCATCTTGTGGAAGGGCTGTCACTGTCTCCAAGAAAGCATTTTTTTCCATTTTTTTTTAAGTTGAAATCTAAAATTAAATAGTCTTTAAATTTGTCTTCACTTTTCTTTCTAATTCAGAGCAACTTCAAGCCTGACGTTGAATTGCTAACCACACTAAAGTGTGTTGGGAAGCCTTAGTTCTCTTGAAGCTGGTTTTTGTGACTTGGGTTTGGGTGTTACTGGTTCATTGTGAGTGTATGAGTTCTATGTTGTGGGAGGAGAAAGATACACATTTTCTTGCTACTGCTTCTGTACACTTGCAAGTGTTCGGCTGTTTAAGAGCTATAAATATGAGTCTGTGATGCTAACATAAAATTCAGATGGGATAAATAATGCTAGTGTATTCTGATATGTTGTAAAAGGATTATTTAGCTTTATATGATAGATAATGAATTTATCTTAATAAGATAAATATATTTTGCATATTAAAAGGGTAATACTAGTACTCTAGTACTTTAGTACTCTAAATCTGCCATATCATTTACTTTGTTTGCTTTCAATTAAATGACCAATAGTTTCAATATTGTTTCTTTTAAATATCATGTGTTATACATTTTAGACATCTTACAGAAAATAATTTTTCTAGAAGTAATTATGTTCAAAATGAGACTTATTGTTGTGAAATACTAGTGAAAGATAATTGTGACACAACTTACTTGCACCCTTACTGCAGTGTTTGTGTTTTTCAAATCTAAAATGGTGTTAGAGGTTTCTTTACCCTTTAAAATGTCATGAGCATTGGTTTTGACAGTACAGCTTCTCATAATAATGAGTTTGAGCTTTGCCTTTTATTTTCACTAATTCTGCTTAAAGTAATTCCACGTGATTTGAATTTTTAAGGAAAACTATCTAAAAAATAATGTGTTTAATTTATGAATAAATATTCATACTGAGTTTCCAATTCTGGTTTACTTTTTGTGTGTGTAGGTAATTAAAAAAAAATAAATTCTAGGGTTTCAGAAACACATTTGACACAATCAGTAACAAATACATTACCTAATCTGTCATCTGTGATATGTTTGCCAGCAGTCATGATAAAGTACTATGACATCTCTACATTCTGAATAGCCATGCTTGTTTCTCAGTCCTTCTTTCTGCCAGAATTTTCTTTGAAGCTGCAGCCCATCAACACAGTCAAATGTGTTTGGTATTAGGTAAGAAGTGTCCCAAAGGGCACTGTAGATTAATCTTGCTCCAGAGATATTAGTTAATAATGTTACCTAGAAATGCAGAAAATTCAAAGGTTTTATAATTTGATGCATTAGGAAATGCTGTGCTGAAAGAAATAAAATCTTACACCTAGAGCTACTTCAGCCATAGCCAAATTTTTGTCAGATGGGTCCTCAAAATTTAGCTGTTAGTGAAGATGTTACTGCCTACAGCTGTTTGCTTTGCTCTCTTGCTGTTGATGTCCTTGTAATCAGAGGCAGCAATATGGGACGTGTGACCCATTTGCAGCCCAGTGCTTAACTTTCCAATAAAACCAGTTTCTGGTGAGTTTCTTGGGAAGGCTTCCTGTGTTTCAGATGTTTGCCATCTTCTGTTATGGCAAGAATAGTAATCTGTTGCTGCAAGGCTGAGAAAGAAATGTGCTACAAACAGTAACCCACATGCACTGAGTTTCAGGAATCTTAATTTGCTGTCAGCATGATTTGACACACATGTATGTAAACTGAAAACATCTTTCAGGAGACTCAAATCTTGCAATAATGCCATATAGTACATTAATTTGCACAAAAATATGTGATATCTGTATTATGCAAGTTATACCAGCTGTCTATATTACAGTATTTTAAAAACAAATATATAGTAACCATGCCTGCTGTGTTATTCTTTCTGGTTTTTGACCGCAATAGTTTTTGACATTGGATCTCTTTCCTCTGTTTTGCATCTTCTCTTCCTGTTTTTTAAGTTGTGGAACCTGTGGAATCTACTTTAATATTAAAATAATAGTTGTTTCTATTCTTGGCTTTTGAAAGTATCTGTTTTGTATTTCATGAATGATGATGAGGAGGAGATGCAGGCTTCAATATTTGGAAACTTAGGTCTAAAAGTGACAGACTCCAGACTATTGATGAGTGTAGGGGAGATGTAGGTCAGAAACACTTCCAAGACATTTACTGTGGCTGTTTCTATTGTTCTGATAAATGTGTACAAATAGCATGTAATAGGAGAAGCTACTTATTGTAGCTTTCAGATACATTTCAGGTTTGCTTTGTTCATGTATAATTGTGACTAAATTATAATGATGTCTCTTAAAAGAACAACCATACATCTAATTGGTTTTCCAGAAAAGAATACCCACCTCAGCTTCAGAAAGTGGAGGCAGACCACATTAGATTACCACGGTCTCAAGGAGTGGGTAAGTTGCTGTTGGAGTTTTCATTTCTTCTAAAGAGAATAATTTTTTTAATACCTGATCTGGGTGGGTACGTTGTTAAATCTCATATAACCTTTAGTATATCTACTTTTACAGCATTGTGTTACTCTAGTTTTGTACGAGTTTGTGCATGAAGGGGTGATTTTGCCCTTCTTGACAGATTTCTGCAACTAGTTCAGTCATGTAATAATTTTAAATTAGACTTCAGTTATTTTAAAAGCAGCAGAAATAAGGGAGAATTTAGGATCATAAAATTGGAGATGGAACAGATCTCTGGAGTTAACTAGTCTGAGCCCAAACCCCCAACTTATCTGTGAATTATTGATGAGGAACTTCTGTAGCAGTGTTAGTACAAGAAAAATGCGATGTAGTAATCAGCACTTGGTATGAAGTGTATTCATACACCGAGGGAGTTAATAAAAGAATCAGCGTCAGCTAGAACATGCTCTTACATCATTGTTAGGAAACGCGGACGGAAGTGCAGTAGAAAAGATATAGTTTGGTTTCAGGTGTGGAAATTGTGAAATTGGAAAAGAAAATACCCTGGGTTTTTTTAAGCTTTGTTAGTACAGATAGAGTCTGAAAACCTGCTGTTCAGCTGCTTAGTCACCTGCACTGGCAAGTTGTACTGCTGTGCCATATTAGGTTAGTGTTAAGTAGATCTTTAGCAGTACTACTCTAAAGTAAGTTAACTTAGGAAAAAAACACCACCTGTTACTAATTCTTTTTTGAAAATGAGTCATTCTTTAGTTTTGAGATGTCTTCTCATAGTGGGATGTTTGTGCGACCATCAGTCTGTATACTGAAAAGGTGTTTATGTCTATTAAAAAAAATACAGTCTTAAAAAAAGTTCCAATATGCAGACTGCATTTGAAGGTATATAAATAGCATTTTTTTGTGAAACCAATTAAGGCACTGTTGTGCAACACATTCCATTTCTTAAAATGCACAGAGTGAGATTTAATTACCGAGTTTCTGTGTTCCTATACTCTTACAGTATTTAAATTAATGTCTCAGTATAAACCAGGACACGACAGTATAATTCACTACTACTGTGTCTTGTGATGAAGGGGTAGATCTGTTGGTTGACACTTGGCCATGTTCCTAGGTGGCTGAGAAGGCCAGTGGCATCCTGGCCTGTATCAGCAATGATGTGGCCAGCAGGACCAGGGCAATGATTGTCGCCTGTACTCAGCACTGGTGAAGGCCACACCTTCACTGCTGTGTCCAGTGTTGGGCCCCTTCATTTGGAAAGGACATGAGCATGTCCAGAAAAGGGCAGTGGAGCTGGTGAACGGTCTGAAGCACAGTTTTTATAATGAGCAGCTGAGGGAGCTGTGGGGGCATTTAGCCAGGAGAAAAGGAGGCTCAGGGGAGACCTTATTGCTCTCTAGAACTACCTGAAAACATGTTGTAACCAGGTGGGGGGGGTCAGTCTCTTCCATGTCTTAGGTAGAAGGTTGAGAGGTAAAAGCCTTATGTTGTGCCAGGGGAGGTTCAGATTAGAAAGCAGAAAAAATATTTCACTGAAAGAGTATTTAGGCATTGGAATAAGTTGCCTATGGTGGTGACAGGGTCACCGTTTCTGCAGGTGTTCAAGAGGCTTTGAGATGTGGCACTTGGGGATATGGTTGAGAGGTGATGATGGTGGTGCCAGGTTAATAGTTAACAAGATGATCTTGAAAGTCTCTTCCAGCCTTGATGATTATGTGAAATACAGATTACACAGAACATTTCAAATTGTTCTAAATGCACTCAGCAGTAATTCTGTGGTAAAGATTTTCATCAGCATAATCTAGCATCCCCTCCTATTTTTGGCAACAGACCCTCCACTTGATTTGCATTGAAGTTAGCCTAGATTGGCAAGTCCAAAGCCTCTTGCAAAGATATAAGATTAAAATTGACAGTGAGCATCTCTGCCATAGTATTACTTAAACTACATTTTTTAAATTACTTTGGGGAATGATTTTTTTTTTTAGTTATACGACAAATCAATCATGAGCATTTGAAACAGTATACGTTTTTGAGGTTTAAAAATGTGTTTATGTTTGGTTCAAGTTAGTATATGTAAAGAAGTAAGATGATCATAATTATAACAGTATATGAGTGGACATTTCTTGTTAATGTTCTTGCATCTTTTCCCCTTTAGACAGTGTAATGGAGAATACAGATGACTCTGAATCAGAATCTGACATTAAGAGAAAGGTGCGACAGAAAGGTCATTGCAATTCTTATCAATCTGACTTGAGTCTTTCTTCTGCTCCAAAAAAATGCTTAACTCAGTCAAAGGTGGGTTATATTTTCAAAATATATAAACTCTTGTTGAACTTTAAAAGTTGTTGCATACTTTAAGGACAGACATTCAGGAGTAAAACAGTTTGATGTTCTAAAAATCCTTAGAGTTGGGAGTAGGATTTACATAATTTAAAAAAATTTACAGTGATAGAGATATTTAAGTGCTAGTATTGCTACTAGCTATGAAATACTTCTTTCCTGATTTGAGCAGACAGAAGCTACACTGAAAAGAAAAAGAATCTATGCTCTAATTGAATGGCTAATTGGTAAACCAGAGACTGATGATTTTAATTTGTGGAAATAGGAGAATAATATATTGCTCTTTGACAGTTTTGTGGTTTTTTTTAGTGTCATGATTTTCTGTACTCAGTAAAGAGAAAAGTACTGTAAAAGTTCAAGTACCTTTTATTAAGATGTTCACTTTTCCAGCAAAAGTAGCTCCTTAGGTATCCAAATGGTATTCTCTGGTCTACATGCAGCCAACCAGGATGTTTTTGTCAGGAACTTGTTGGAATATCAGATGTAAGATACTTTGGAAATTGCTGTAAAGCTCTCTTGTATTTTTTATCAACTTCTCAAGCTACTATGGAAGTTTCATGATGCCCACATACAGGTCACACTGTTCGACTAATCAGAGCAAAACTTCCTGTAAGGAGATCTTGGTTTAAAAAAAAAAAAAAACTAAAAAAATTATAGATCTATGATTTTTATATATGCTTAGCTTTTGCTTGAAACACCTGGTACTGCTCTTTGGCATTTCCATTGCTTATTTAGTTAATTAATAAGGAAACTGGTTTAAAATTTTAGGCATGTGGTTGAAGTAGGGGAGTGCAATTGCTCTATACTTAAGATCCTGCAGATACTCTTGGTGCCTTCTCTTGAATATTTTTAATGTTTGATAGAAATTCTTCAATGTGATAAGCAGTATATAAGAACTACATCCTGTAACAGTGCTGAGGCACAACACTGGTTTTCATATCACTTGCTATCTCATCCCATAACTCAGATTTTAAGGGTCTATTATATTTTATACACTTGGAGTTTTTTGCTTCTGTTTCTCTATGGTATGTATAGCCTTGTTAAATTGCAGAAACTTTGTAAAAATAGTATATTCTCATTGTATGATTTTCGTCTTAAAATTTGGGGTTCAGAATTTCTTCCCACATCTGTAGAAGTCCTGTTTTGGAGGTATGTCATGGCCAGGTATGGGGAGAGGTGTAAATTGTGAAAGCTGTGCTTTAAAAGTAAATTCTGAAAGTTCTTGGTGGGATATAGGTTTGTTGCCTTCAGTAGTTCACAGTACAATGGTTATGCCATTTGAGTTCAGTGCTCCAGGAGACAATAGCATGCACTAAATTTTCATCTCTAGAGATGCCTCATATTCACTTTGGTACTTGTTCTGTAGTTTATATGTTAGTATTGAATCCCTCAGATTTAGAAGTCCAAGTTCTACACTTGTACTACAAGATGAAATGGGATCTAGTAAATATGAGAAAAACAAAAGACATCTGTTTTTGCAGTGATAGGATGAATTTTCCCTTGTAGCCCCTGCTTGCTTCTTGAGAGTTTGGGGAATTCTTATTGTTCAAGTCCTGTTTTCTTCTCTCTGACACATGACTCTACAGCAATATATGTACTTTGCTTTTTCTTCATCTCCCTTGAGGAGTGAATTTTCCTCCATGCCTTGCCAGGCTGTTACAAGATACCTTGGAAGGACAACTAAATTTGACCTACAGGGTTTCTTCAAATTCTCTCCAGCATTGCTCTATGGATCCTTAGGTTACTTTACTTTTGTTCCATGGAACTGTTTTTACAGAAATGGTGTAACTGGACCATCTTGCTGGTGGATAGATGTATGCACTGAACAGTATGCAAGGTTTTGTTTGCAGAAGAAAATACAAGAAGGAAAATCTGAATTATCCAACAATAATTGCTTTAAAAAAATTGCCACAAATTACATTTGTTCCTTTCAGAACATTTTTAATTTGCTTAAATGAAATAAAAAATTGAGCTGTATTTTAATGTTTGCTTTCTCTGCTTACTGTAATTGCTTATATAGTGTTGTCAATCTCCACTGGATATTAATGAAATTTTTTTTCACCAAAAGGGTTTTCATGCACTGGAAGAGGATCCTTAGGGATGTTTTTGTGGCACCATCCCCAAAGATATTTTAAAAAATAGGTAGATATTGTGCCTGGGAATATGGTTTAGTGATGACTTGACAGTTCTGTGTTAATGGTTAGACTTGATGATATTAAAGGTCTTTTCCAAGCTAAGTGATTGTATGATTCATTCTGAACAGAAATTAAGTGCAAGATCTAGAAATTGTGTCATTCTACTTAGAATTACTGATTGTGTTTGTTTCTCCTTTAGCTTTCGGAACAGATTGATTATTCTACTGAATGCCCAAATTGTGGGAGGGCAAATGAAAATCAGACCAAATGCCGACATTGTGAAAGTGCTTCTCTAAAGGATTTGCAAAGAGTCTCCAGACAAACTGTGACATTAAGTGAATCTGTGGGACCTTTATCACGTTCTTCAATACATCAGAATTCAGCAGGGCAAAAATCTTCAGGTACAGGGTTCAGCACAAAGAAGTTTTACAGTTCTGCTGTTGGAAAAGGTCCAGCGGATATTCTGCTGAGTAATGAAGTAGTAGGACATTCTATGTTACGACAGAATGGAAAAGTTGGTCTTTTAACTGGGACAAAAAATCCTAAAATTACAGGAAGCTTAAGACAGAGGGGTACAAGACCATCTGAACTAAACGATCCAAGTAAGTATCTTTTTATGAATTCAGCCATTAGCTGTAAACCCAGAATAATGTGTAGCGAAGGAACTGTTCATGCGGGTTTACGTAACTGATATTGCATGGAATTATTTTGTGTCTGTGTTCTTGGGGAAGAGGGACAGAACTTTTAATAATTTCCTTTTCATATGCAGAGGTACACTTCAAGAAAGATGAACACTGGGGAAAAAACAAAAATTATTTTGTGACTTTTTTTCTTTTGTTTGTTTGCTTTTAAAAATATTTACATTTGGGGTATTGGAAAAAACAGTATTCTTAGCAGAATTCCATCATTCATTCTCCCAAGTGGAAAGACAGAATTTGATTTTATTTTGTGTTTTCCCTCCTCTTTTCTTCAGAGCTCTTAATCTATTTAAATTTCATAATTTGTAAAATATTAATTTCTGTGCTTTCTCTGTGTAAACTCAATAATCAGGAAGGATGGAGTAAAGGAAAATGTTTTCGGTTCTGTGCTTAGTTTATTAGACCATGTTATCCTATTGGTTTGAATGATTTCAGTCAATTTCTCTTGTAGGTTTATAGGTTATATTGCTTACTGTCAGTTCTTGGCTGAACCAAGAAAAGTTCACATCTGTCTAGAAGTGGACTAATGATACCCATTCTTTGTATAGTTAGTTATAAGAGGTAAAAAACAAGGAAGAGAGTGCTTGCAAGCAAATTCCAAATAAACTTTAGTAAAAGCATAATATAATGATACAATGTTTTTGGCACTGCAGGACATTTACATAAATTACTTTTAAAGTATTACTTGAAAAGAAATTTCTGTTACAGAAAAATATAGTGGTTGAGAATGTAATATTTTCTGCTTAGTTGTTTTGTCTAGTGGTGAGGAAGAGGAGGAGGAGAATAGTAGCAGCACTAGGAGCATGGAAAGTGTTTCACCTCGTCCTGCAGATTCAGCCTGTTCCTCCCCAGCTCCTTCTACAGGAAAGGTGGAAGCAGCATTAAAGGAAAACAATTGTGAAATAGAACAGAGAATAGGTAGTATAACAACAACAATACAGAAATTGCCATCACACTAGCAAGAATAGCCAAGAATGAAAAGAAATTTCTGTTACAGAAAAATTTAGTGGTTGAGAATGTAATATTTTCTGTTTAGTTGTTTTATCTAGTGATGATGATGAGGACGAGAATAGTGGCAGCACTAGGAGCATGGAAAGCATTTCACCTCGTCCTGCAGATTCAGCCCGCTCCTCCCCAGCTCCTTCTACAGGAAAGGTGGAAGCAGCATTAAAGGAGAACAGTTGTGGAATAGAACAGAGAATAGGTAGTATAACAACAGATACAGAAATTGCAGTCACACTACCAAGAAAAGCAAGAATGAAAGATCAGGTACTATTTAATGCTTTGTTTAAAGAAAACAGAATCAAATAATAAATGGAATATGTAAAGGCTTGTTTTGCAGATGTTGGCTATATTTGATTGTTTTTCTTATTCAGCAGCTCATCAAGTAGTCTCTCTGCATACTTAATACTGGAAACATAAGAAAATGTGTTCATTACATTTTTACAAGCATTCACAATGATTTGAATTATGCTGTTAACATTAATGCTTCTGTGTTGAATGTTTACTCTGAGACTGGACAGGGGTTCTCTGTGAAGCTCAAGGTCTTAGTTGGCAGCAGAATGTTAGTTGCCTGTTGAGATTTTATGAAGTTAAACATCAAAAGACACATTGACCCTTTAAAATTAAAATGCTTCGAGAATTGTCCCAATTAATAGCACTTATTTTAGGACTTTCATGGATGGGGCTTGTGCTTTTTAGTTGAGTGCTGCTGTAAGAATTGCATAATCAAAGACAAAAAAAATACTCCATGGGCACACCTTAAGTGTGGCCGAAGGGGACAGTTTTCATACTAGGTTAAAAGTCATCTCAATAGTGAGCCATTGAGAGGAGTAAATTCCATGTGGCAATGGGTAGTGGAATAACAGTGCTGATTAAAGCAATTCTTGAGTCACTTGTCCAGTTTCACTATTGCGAGTTTGATTCAACAAGAGAATCCAATCAGATTTCCAGTTCTTTGAGTTAGAACACTTAAGTACTGATGCCAAAACCTTCTTGCTATTCAGAGATTCAGAAGCCAACATTCTAGTGCTGTAGTTGATGAAATTATGGGTGTTTATAATATGTTGTATAATTAGTCACCACTATCAATATGAAGCTGTGAACCCCCAGCCTACAATAAAGCTGCAAGGCTCAAAGCTTGGATTATAAATAGTTTTTAAATTAAGTTATTCTGGCAAGAGGTGCTGATTTAATTTGAAAGCATTGCATTGTGAAGGCACTGGTGTCTGACTTCTGAAACTCTCAAAAATGGGGTTTTTTTTGTATATCCATATGTTCCTGTTCACTAGTCTTTACAAACCACTAATACTATATGTTAGATTATTCTAGAATCTGAGCTTGCTTTTGAAAATGGGCGAAATAAAAAATTCTGCATTGACTCAATGAACCTACCAAGATATCACAGCACTTTTCTTAGATACCATTGCAAATCTTTGTTCAGCTGTCTTTCTCTCAAAATACTCATTAATTCTGCACTGAAGAGGCTACTTGAATATAGCATCATTTCAGACTTTGCTGTTTTATTGTTTGTCTGCGATTTGTTTTAAGCTAATAATATTTAGCCAGTCCAGCAGACAAAAAAGAAATGCTCTTTTCAACAAGAGGCCTAGGAAAACATTTTAATTACAAGGATTTAGAATCCCTACCTTCTCCAGTGTATAAAATGAAGGAAGCATCCAAAAGTATATTTTGAATTATTTCCAAGATAGACCAGTGATTTGTGACTTTGAAATAATTTTCAAGATTTAGTCTCAATAGAAACACTGAATCCCTTAGAATGTTTTTCTGTGGGAGTTTAATTGCATTTTGTAACCAAAAAGAATGTTTATTCATGGGCAGTTTTATGAACAATATAAATACCAAAGAAAAGACTAGTGTACAGAAAATCCTTCTACAAAATAGAGCAATATAAGCAATACAACAAATAAATATATTTATCTGCTGACTATTAGCAGACTTTATTTCATTTTAATAGTTTAAATAGTTTTTAAATTTTTCTGTTGGTTAACAGGATACTTTATTGAGATGACAGCTTCAGTCAGCATCTAGAGACTTTTCTTGAACTGGGGCCAAATGCCACGTGGCCGCTTTTCAATGTTCAGTCTTCTGACCTTGGAATCTATCCTAAAAACATCTTAGTTGCTCTGTAGAGATGTCTTTAGGAAGTTTGATTTGGCTTATTTATTTATGATTCTTGAAGACTGTACTCTGGAAATGTAGTGGTGGATGCACTGTACTTCAAGAATTAGTCTCCAAAAGCTTGGATTAACAAAATTGAATGAAAAAATTAAACCACCAGCATCGTGGTGGTTTTACAGCATTAGTGTTTTTTTTATCTAAATAAAATGCATTAAAATTAACTTCGTTTTGCTAGACTGCAGAGTGTTCCCAAAAGGTAAAAATAAATTGGTTTTGGCAATTTAGAAGCACTGTTGGTGATTTGGAAATGTCAATGAAGTGTTCACAAGTGTCAGCTTAGCTTTTATTTTCTTCTTGAATGTAGCAATATTAATATCCTCAGGTGTTACAAAAAGTCTTTTAGGAACCATCTACCTTCTGTATATGTTTGAGGTGGATGCTCTAGTAAGTAATTCTGTTGACCAACAGAAAAGTAGCTGAAGATAGAGTCATTAGTTTTAACAAGCTTGATTTAGCAATAAACCTCAGTGAGACACTCTGAAACCTTGAAAATTACTTTTCAGTTTGGGAACATTGTGTCTAACACTCCAATAAAACGTCGCAAAGTTATTTCTCAAGAGATGATAACCGAGGCTGTACCTCTAAATTATCAAAGTTCCTGTGAAAGTGTCATTCTGAACTGCCGAAGTATACGAATAGGAATGCTGCGCAGAATGGTAGTGGAACCTGTGATTGTGAGTAGCCTTGCTCTTTCATAGCTCTCTTTTCATGTTTTGATGGGTATTATATTTTTGTATTTGAACAACATAATGTTTTGCCTTTGTCTGGAGAACAGTAAGTTTGTCTCCAATTTCAGAGATTGTGATTTCCAAAGAACCTCAAATTACTGCTTCATTCAAATACATGCAGTCGCTCTGGTTCTTAATAGGAGTACTGTGCTGCAGCACTCTCAAAAAACTTGTTTGCATGCTGGGGGAGGTTATGGGCTAGCATGCATTTGTTAAAAAAATTGAAAACAATACCTACAAGAAAGTCGATATTGATAGGTGTGGGGAAGAAGCATTGCCTTAGTGGTGAGTAATTCTACTTCTGCAGATTTTTTTTTTTGTTAGCCTTCTAAGTTAACATGGAGTTTTCAAGGAGACCCTGAATGTTACTTGCATGCAGTCAGCCACACAGAATGCATACTTCTTGCTGGAGTAACCACAGAAACAGCAGAGAGATGTTACTTGTTCTCTCCACCTCTCCACAGAACACTATTGTTTGATATGCCTAAATGCTGACAGATGACATTTTCTTTTGAAGAAATAGAATTTGTGAATTTTTCAGAGTACTGTAAATGTTTCTGAAAGCAGAGTACTTCAGAGAGATCTAAAGTTTTCAGTATGACTGAAACAGACTAGAATAGAAAAGAATGTGCTTGCCTCGAGTTGTGCTAAACTGTAGATTTTGCTTTTTCTTGAAACTCTAATTTTAAATATTAATTTTGAAATGTTTATTACTTAAATGCTAAGTAAACTGAAATGTGTTTGCTAACAGTTTAAAGGCTTTCAGTCAATTAAATTTGCAGATGTGAAACCTTACAATTGTTTTGTCTTTCAGTTTTGCCTGGATTATATCAAAATACGCCTAGAGAGCCAAGAAGGTGTGTACATGTTTCATTTTATGTTAGTACGCAGTGTATTTATTTTGAATGAAGTAACTCTGTCAAAGGTATTAGCAAGTGAATCATAATTAAATGTTCATTCTCATTTTATCATTTGTGTAATAAATTATAATGGGTGTCTGTAGTTAGATAAGAGAAAAGAAAATGGAGAGTACAAAATTGGCCTGAACTGCCTAGTGAATTAAAACCAAAATGTTTTTTCATTATCTCTACATTCTACTGACAGAAAATTCACTATTTGTGACATGAGTACAGCTGAGTTATTAGCTCTGCTTCATCTGATCTGATTCTTCTTGATCTAATCATTCATTTAAAGATCTATCAATAATGTGTTGTTTGGCAAAGGCTTTCTACCCTTTAACAAAAGTCATTAACAAAAATCAAGAGTAACCCTCCTGTAAATTGTTAGCTTTTTAACACCTTATTAATTCTTTTATTTCGGTTGTATTAAATAGCAAAAACCACACTGATGTTGTAGACCTTTCCTGTCTAGATCTCTCTGGATAATTTTGTCTCTAGCCTGAAAGTTGTATATTTTATATCACTGAAAGAAATAGTGACATAATTTAGAAAGGGTGAGTTACAACTCCTGCTCTGGGCCCTATCTTTTCTTTTGTAGGGTTTAGTTCTGGGCCTGAAAAGCTTTGTTACCTTTTGTCACTCTTAAGTTACATTCTTAAGATCCAGTCCTGTTGGATTTTGTTGTTATTTGTAAAAGAGAACTACCGTATTTTGCAATTACTACATGCAGAATGGTGTCTCACAGCCTCTAAAGATAAGCGTAGCCTTTGCTAAGTCAAGTATTTAAGTTTATGTTACATGTAAAATACAGATGCATAGAAACTGTGAGTTTTCATGCATTAAATGTATTTTTAAAAATAAAACACTGAAAGGCTTTGTGTAATTTGTAGAAATAGCTACCAAGTTTTAGTTAAAACAGCTGTGTGGTGAAATTATTTCCACAGCACCTAATTCGTCAATAGCATAAAAATGGCGACTCATTAAATGCTGTGTCTGTTGGAGCACTTAGCACTTCACTATTTTTTTCTTAATTTTTTTTCCTTCTTTTTTTTGAGTTTTGCACGTATATCCACTTCTCTATCAAATTTTATAGTTCAGTGAAACCTGTAAAATACTCAGCATTGGCATTGGCAGCATCCAATGCAGTGTTAAAATTTTACTATGTTACTGACATTTCTTTTAGGGAATAAACTAGGAGTAATCCTTTGTTTCCTCAGGGAATCAGATAAATTCTCTGTGTGTGTTTATGCTCTTCTTTTTAAAGTTATTTTTCATATGGGAGCTCAGTCAAAGATAAATGTGCAAAGAAAATTTTACAAACTTACTGTAAAATGTGTTGTAGCAATAGTTGCAAATTTAAGTCACTGGAAATTATGGGGGTTGTTTTCTGTGGAATCAAAAGTAAAGTTGGTGGGCGGAAAACAGTTTGTTTCTGATGTCTTTCTTGACAGATGACATTGGAATTTAGCCTATCTTTTAAGATATGAAATGCCATCACTTCTTGCATGTGTGTTAATTTCAAAGTTTTAAAAACTTCTAAGAAATTTAGAGAGCACATAGTGATTACTTTTTAAAATCAAGAGGGAAATTGTAAAGGAAACTTATAGGTTTTTATTGTATTTCAATATGTCATTATTTTCTCATAGAATCAGAAAGTGATATCAGAGAGATTAACCTGAAAACTTCAGAGCTTACTAAATGTGAATGGTGTAGTGTCCGAAAATTGCCAGTAGTTTTCCTACAAACAGTACCTTCAACCTGTAGCAGTCTGAGAGAGCAACTGAAAATGAGTAAAGACAATGTCTGGTACGAATGTAAAGGAGACAGTAAGTAAAACAATTTTAGTCTGCTATTCACTTCAAATTGTATTTTCATGTTTTGGGTCATGAATGAGTGCATAAAGACTAAAAGGGTCATCACTAGCTGGGGTAGTTGTAGTGTTTTTTCAGACACTATTACCATACCAGGCTGAGAAAAGGTATAGTTCAGAGCAGCTGGGCATTCTTTTTGCAGAAACATGCTAGTTACAGCACTAAATCAATTTAGTATCACTTTTTTCACTAATATTTGTACCTAATGAAAGGAAGTTTGTTTGGTTAGCTTTTGTATACAAGCTGTTACATTTATATGGCAGCTTTTGTAATACTTCTGCCTTCAGTGCTGTACTGCTGACAGGCTTTAGCTTTAGTAGAAACCATTATATAGGTTGCCTTGGGATTTTTTCCCCCCAGCATACTTCTCATGATGTGAGATAGACAAATACTTGCTTGGAGAACATGTGGATTATCTTCATGTATGTTAAGATTAATACAATTTCTACATAATTTTCAAGGTCCTGCCATCTTAATAGGCACACCTATTAAATGTATCACTGAGTCCTCTTTCTCTTCAATAGGCTTTTCTTCAGGTTAAACTTGGTGGTTATTTGTACTTAGACACAGTTTTGTACATACATGAATGCATTCAAATGGAGGAAGAATGCTTTCAGTAATCTCAGAGCTGAGTGCTCTCATAATACTACATAATAGTCTCATCCATGTCCTGTAAGAAGTATGAGCTGTAAGTAGTTTTAGAGTTACAGAAGTAATTGGAGAGCATGCAGGGGACCTGGACACAATTCTGGGAGCAGGAATCGGACCCCAGGTGGACACAGGTGTTAACCAAAAAGGAAAAAGCTTCCCAAGTTGTCTGTGTGAGAAATCATTCTCTTGGCATGGCTCTCAGCAGTGACCCTGCCCTGCTCTTCTCCTTAAGGCTGGGCCACTGATTGGGAATTATGCTGCTCAAGAGTTATTTTTCACAAGAGTTAGGATGCTGGGTTAAGAATGACCAAAAGGAAGTGGTTATGCTTGTGTCTGAAATGCCTCTTACAGGAAAACAGGTCCTGGCAGCTCTGTGTTAGGCAGTGACGTGAGACTGGGATTTGCAGCCTGAATGCTATTCCTTTTTCTGGCTGTGTAACATAATTCCTTTCAAGGAAACTTACTGCTTTTTAATTTTCCAGATCATATAAGTGGATGAAAACTTACTGCTTTTTAATTTTCCAGATCATATAAGTGGATGATATTTATATAACAGCTGATTAATCTGAGTAATTCTCTCCAACTTCTTCAAAAACAGTGGTGTTTTATAGCATAACCTTCTAGGATCAGAGAGGAAATTGTGCTGAATATACACATTTTTGAAATTGTAGTGAAACAATAGGCTAGGAACTCCAGGAAGAAAAGGAGAAAGTATTAGTTACAGTCTTACTCTCAGTAAACAAAAATGCTATCTCAAAATATGTTTTGGCTTTGCATTAGTGTCATTTAAAAATTTATCAGATGTAGTACTTAACATTTCATCATTAAGGTAGAAGTTGAAGGCAATCTTAGCAAATTCAGATAAGAAAAGTTTGCCATTTAGTCTTGTCTGTTTGCTCACATCTGTATTACTGCTTGCATACATTACCAGCAGTGTGTACTCATGTTGGCCTAAAATTCCATGAAATCTGTTTATAATTGCAACATGTTTTATTTTATTTTATTCCAAAATGAATAATTTTCTCTCTGCTTTTTTTGCAGGTCAGGAAGAACAATACATAATTTTGATTTTTGAAACTGGTCTTGATCCTCATGCAAATTCAATATTTGAAAAAATAATTATGGACATTGGTATTAGAAATAATATTTCTGACTTCTTTGTGAAAATTTCCTTTGAAGAAGCCAATGCCAGGCTTGTTGCATTTACTAAGTGCTTGGAGGACAATTCCAAAGGAAGCCCATCTCACAGAGAAAGCAAACTAAAAAATGTAATTGTGTTTTTGTTTTAGAACTAAGTCATTATATTATGTGGGTTACAAATACACTAAGGATAGTGCGTTAGCCAAAAAAAAAATTCCATCAACTTTTTCTGGCTTTTATATGAGAATTCGCAGGCTGGTCCATGGTGGATTATGAAACTCTGGGAAATAGTCGTGCATTCACAGTGCTTTTTAGGGTGTTTAGTTTGATAGTAAACTCATACAATGGCCCACAAGTAGTGTTGTTATTTAAATATTATTAAGGGATGAGAAATCTTTACTATAATCAGACAACACACTTTTTTCCAACTGGTAAAATATGATATTTCAAACAAGAAATTAAATTGTACTGTTGTATTAATGTAATTAATGTTTTCATTAAACAAACTACTTTTTAAGGAATTAGAAAGTTTTACAATTCTGCAAGAAATGAGCAAAGACCTAAGTCAAATGGATGAGGTAGGAAAGTTAAAAACCTACAGACTTGAAGTCCTCAAAAAAACCAGATATTACACTGCTGAACTTCACTAAGTTTTATTACCATTTCGGTAAAATTTGGCACAGTATTCAAATTAATATTGACTCTATTCTCTTAAGGTTGCTTCTGAGTCCAAAATGCAGCAGCGAAATAAACAGTTACCATTTTTTGATGATGATGAAGAAATTGGCGAACCACATACAGTATTTATTGGTCCTATAGAAAAGTAAGATATTTATCTTTGCCCTGTAATAATTCTCTGAGGGGTTTTTGGCATTTCATATTTCTTATTGAATGTGTTTTTCTTCTCAGGTTGATAGTTTATCCACCTTCTCCAGCTAAAGGTGGTATTTCTGTGACCAACGAAGACCTCCATTGTCTAAATGAAGGAGAATTTTTAAATGATGTTATTATTGATTTTTATTTAAAGTAAGTTTTATTTCACATCAGTTTTTAGTCGTCTTTTACTTTGAAACTTGAAAAGTTCTGACATTAAAAATTCATAGGTCAATTGATAACACTTGGTCTCCAACTAGATATAGCTGTAATTTTAAAGGTTGTTTTGTGATCTTGCAAGAAAGTTTGCTTCTTTTTCTATCCTGCTTGACAGTGACATTGTTCCAACCTGATAAGGGTTCTTTGAACTTTTTAACATCTCAAGAGCAAATTTAACTAAAAAAAAAACCCCAGCTTTTTAAAGTTTAGTTGTTCCTTCCAGAGGATCTGTGTTTCCTGGAATTTAATTTGTTTTGATTAACATAATACATAAGTTAATTTTATACTGTCACTGATGCTGCAGATGTTAGAAGTGTGTTAAATTGTTACATGCTGCTGCTTTTATGCTACACATAAGGTAGCATATTAGTATATATTTTGAAAAATAGTATATTTTTCAGTCTATTAACATATTTTAGAAGTAAAAATAAAACTAGTGTGTCACTCTTAAGATTGTTTGGAGGTCTGACGGCTCACATACAAAGTATATGTCTCTTAGACAAGTTTTTATGTAACAAAAACTCCTTGAACATTTGTTTTCCTGCCATGAAACAAAAATAAATACAAGAGCAGCAGAACAGCTTGTTGATTGAGCAGAAAAATAATACTCTGAAATATTAATGCCTTGAACTATTTACATAAATTTTGCATTAACTAGTTCCTGTGGATAGTCAGCTCCAAATAGCGATTCTGTGAGAAGCTGCTACAATTTGGTGGGGAGCACCTGTTAGCAGTCCTTTTTACCCTGGTGCTGAGTACTTTGAGTTAAAACCTCCATTGTTTTTTCTTCCTTTCCTTCTTTTCTTTTTTTTTTTTATTTTTTTTAAACTAATTAGGTATTTGGTACTTGAAAAGCTGAAAAAAGAAGATGCTGATAGAATACATGTGTTCAGTTCATTCTTCTATAAACGCCTTAATCAAAGAGAAAGAAGAAATATTCATGAAACTTCAAACCTTTCGTAAGTGTGTTGATAAGTCAGTTTAACATAGAGATAAGTGCAGTGAAGACTCTTAAAAAACAGATGCTTTACAGAGAGAAATATCAACAGAACTCTAGGAAATATCCAGACCTGTAGCAGACATAGAATATCCCTTGAAAATCTTAACAAGCTGTTAAGGTGAACATATCTGGAAAATACTCCCTCAAATAAAATAAGCCACCCTACAAATTGTTTGTTGGTTTCTTCTTGCAGAATACAACAAAAGCGACATGGGCGAGTAAAAACGTGGACACGGCATGTTGATATTTTTGAGAAAGATTTCATTTTTGTTCCCCTTAATGAAGCGTAAGTGAACATACCTTTTTATCACATTTGGTAAAGGCTTAAGCTTCATAATTCTGAAATTGAAAGTTACATTATAATTAGAATTGAAGTTAAAAATTAAGAGAATAAACATCTTTTTCCAGCTGAGAAAAATTAAATTGTTGTGTAAGACGTTTAAATGTTGCAGTGTAAGAATTATCAGACGGTATAAAGACATCAAAAATTAACTTCGGAGTATTTTTGTAGGCTTTACCTCAATCTCTTGTGTTCTTTCTTCTAAGCTTTTGACATAGATAACTTTTGGATTTATCTTTTTTAGTCCTTTCTAATGAGATCTCTCTGGTATAGATGAGATATTCTTTTACATTATCTTTAGTTACAGTAAATGGGTATTGAAAGAAAACTTAACTGAAAATCGCTACTGCTTTGAGAACTTTGTTCTTTATATCCCTTTGTCCTCCTATTTGTTAAGGGTCAGGAAGCAGACCATTAGCTTCTAATGGTTGCTAAGGAATTCAATAATGCTTGCTTTCCTTAAGATCAGAGAAATTTGTCACAAACACATTTCTGTTTTTCACAAAAGTGATCTAAACAGTTCTTAAGCAAAAATATTTATAAAAGTTAAAATACTCTATTTTAAATGTATGCAATAAAAACAAAATAACAGATAGATAGGAATTTTCTGATGGACAGCTTGTAGGCATGCCTAGCTGATATTTCAAAAATTAAAAAAGATTTTTTTAATAAAAACAGATTTATCTAAGTACTTTGTCATTGTACAGTGGGAGGCAAATTTCTAAATCTTCTCATTTTCCTGCCTCTTCTCCAGCTGAATTCTGAGGCTAACAGTATAGAGGCTGTTATGAGATAACTGGCCATACACAGATCTGTCCTGTTTATTAAGTTGTATTTCCCCAACTAAAGTATTCATTAGCTAAGTTTAGTTTTTGACATACCATGACATCTGGCAAGACATCCAGGCCTAGGTGATTTTAATGACACTGCTGTAAGATCCACTGCAGGTCCCTGTCCACTGCAGACTTCATCCTTACCACCCCTCTCCCATGAAACTTCAAGTACCAAGACTTTGAATTGTCTGTCATTTAAATTTTAAGCTGCCTTTGCACTTATTATATAGTTCACGTTCCACCATCCCCTCATGTGACATTCACATATGCACATGGGTTATGCATAGGAGAAAGGAGGTTGTGCAGAGGAGAAATGAGTGTGAATTAGAAGCCACCTGAAAAGGAAAACAAATAGTTCTGTGGTTTTATAAGAATTACTTAAATTGTTAAAACACAGTAGTTTTCACTGTCTTGTTTATTTACTGACAAGAAAGTAAAGCAATGTCTGTCTCAGCATGTAGATTATAACAGTTCATATTGAAAGCATAACATTCACACCATGTGTGAGTTGGTGATTTCAGGTTAGAGTAGCTTGGTCTCATGGACTCATCCAGTTGTGATTAGAGCATGAAAAGTGTACTCCTGGTGTGCATCTGTCACCTGGATATAATCTTGTTCACACTTTTCAGAACTGTCTCTTCACTGCAAGCTGAAGCTTGTCAGGTGGTGATAGTAGGACAGTTGATTTGCAGCAGTGGTTTCCTGGTAGGTACAGTAAGAAGATTGCAGAGCAGAAAAATAACCAAGTAGCCAGGGAGATGAGAAAGTGGTAGTTTGCTGGGGAGTTGCTGGGTTTTGGTGTCTAGTTTCAACAAGTTTTTCCAGACTATCTCGTAACCACTAGTTCAGAGAATGTAGACTCATCATCTAACCAGCTGTCAGACTGCAGTAACTGGAGGTGGGCAGGTTGACTCTAGGGCAGAATCATCTTCAGAACAGTGTGTTTCGATTTAACTGTGACTAAATTTGTGTCCTTCGGCTGTACAGTCCTTCTTGTTCAAGTCTAGTGAAAACAGGTTGTTCTCTTAAAAGTTACAAACTGTTCTCTTTTTACATCCAGGTTAGTATGCTAGTCTGCTGACGTAATTGGTACATAAAGTCTCTGTTTAATAGAGTACAGACAAATTCCAGGGTTGGGCAGTACTTAATACCTTCATTTATTAGGTGTGCTGAGTCATTCAAGACAAACCATACCACACATACTGCTTTCAGTGGCCATTTCGTTTTAACTGCCAATAAGTTTTGATGGAGTTTAGGCTTCATAACCATCTAATTATCTTTTTAGTATGGCAGTTAGACATGCATTTTTAGCTACTGCTTTTTCTTTGTCTCCTAAAACACATTGAAATATGACTTCACCTGTATAATACATAGCAAGCTTCTGTTTTGTTATTTGCTGTAGACAATCGAAGTTCCTTCAGAAAATTTAATTGGACAATCAAAATCCACTTGTAATGCCTCAGTCCCTGAAGTTGCTGTTGCTCTACTTCTGATTGAGCAGCAAATCAGTGAAGCCTAAAGAAGCAAGGAAATAGGGGAAACTGTTGAAAAACTTACACTTTGTGTTGGAGGATATAACTGGTTTTGATTTGGGAAAGTTATAATGTGAGTTCTGTGGAGGGTGAGGAAGACACCAGAGTCACTGTGATGGCATTAAAAACACTCTTTTTCTCTTTCTTTAACTCAATGTTGACAAGTTTTCTTTAAAAATGTGAGGTGTTAAATACAGTTGTAAGATCTCATAGGTGGAAGAGTATGGGCAATTCAGCCATAGATCTGGCTACTTGTGTTGCTACTGCTGAACTACTAGAAAACTTCCAACAGCCATAAACATGAATTCTACAGTCTCAAATTCATGCATTAATGAAGAAAATATTAAAAAAGAAATAAGCTTCAATTCAGAGGAAGAAAAAAATGTAGAAAGTGTGAGCAAATTGAAATAAATGTTTAAGACAGCACCTGCTTTCAACATACTGCATGATATTAATTAATTTGTTGGTGATTATTTGCATGGAGAAGTTGTACTTTTACAGAAGCCTGTGAAGGCTTGAGTAAAATCTGGTCAGAAAAGTGAACAGCTAGTATAGTTTATCTTTGAATAATTATGGGGGCATTAGTGTAATTACGAGTTTTTAATAGGTTTTTTTTTTCCCTTTACAGTGCCCACTGGTTTTTGGCTGTTATCTGTTTTCCTGGTTTAGAAAAACCCAAATATGAACCAAATCCCCATTATCTTGAAAATGCTGCAATGCCGATGAAATCTTCCTCTTCAGATGGAGAGAGCAGCACACCATCTCCTTTGCCAAATGAATTAGATGCACAAAACTCGCCTTCCAAGTCCACAGCAAAGAAGACATTTACCAAAAAGTACAGTACAGCTTTAATTGACCCAAACACTGAAACAGAGGACAGCGAATCTTCATGTTGTAGAAGAAGTCCTTGTAGGGGAAAAAGTGCTTTCAAAAAACTGAATCAAATAGACAGTGACGTGGAAGAACCCAACACTGTGGAATTGGCATGCCATAAACTAGACCATAGAACTCTGGATGAAAATGGTATACAGGGTGAATTCACAGCTGCTAGCCAGTCTATGGGTATGTAATTGTAGAAATATGCACATTTTAATGAAATATTTGGAGATTTCAGATCCGTTACTACTTCTGCAGTGATGTAAACTTCATGCTTCAAAAGTTTGTGGCTTAAGTTCAAGTGCTTGCAGTATAAGTAATTCATAGCCATTGCATTTAAAAGGTTTCTGTGGCTATTGACATAACTCTCATGGCAAAGGACTGGACATAAAATACTTTTCCTAAATCAGATTAATTTTTCAGTTCTGTGAGCTTTTTTTTCTAACAAAGTAATTTTGTAGATACCACTTTGCATCCCTCAAGATTGCAGTTGTTATGGAAGGAATAGTAATTGACCTTGGATCCTTATAACGTTGTGCAGGTGAAAACTGACCTAAGATTATGTGAGCAGACTTAATATCTTTTATAATTTAATATCTTTTATCATTTAATATTTTGCTTCAACACTATTCATTTCTTTAATGTCCTGATAAGAAGGTATGTCAAAGGAATAAGTAGAAAATAATTATAAAAAAAAAAATCTCCTCCATGAGCACTGTGTTATATTTAGAGAGGCTTTCTCAATTCATTGCTGCTGTGGAGACTGCGCTCACCAATCTACAACAGTGTTTGTACCCAGGTGAACAAAGAAGCTGGCATACTTGTAAAGGCAGGTGAAGGAATTAGAAAAAGGTTATTTTTCTCTGTTCACTGCAACATTTGGATCTTCTTAAGGCATAGACTAGGAAACATCTGATTATGCAAAAGCTTTTACTTTAGTCACCAGTAGTATTCCTACTGACTTAGTTTACACAGTAAAGAATTGTATACCTTATAGTACAAGTTCTGAAAATATCACCAGTCATATGGTTTAATCTGTATTCTGCAGGCCATTACAACTTCAGTATCATTGTGGGTATAAACAGTACTAATTTCTATTCTAAATGTATTCATTTGTGGTAACATTGTCACTGTTCCTCGAAGGTCTGTGAGACGTTCTGGGGGTGCACGTTCTGGGGGTGCACGTAGATATGTTCTTGTTTGAGTCTTTTCATTTTGTGTGTGATTGTTACTGTTTATGATATTGCTGCTGTATGATGTGGTCTCATGTCTTGGATGCTGTTACTGTTGCTTGTCTGTAATTAGTTGTAATTTACTTTATGACTGATTTTTGCTAGGATTGCATTTCTTGCAGTTTGTTTCTGGCTGCATTGTATTGGCAGCTGATGATCATTTCTGACTTGAATGCTCAGACTCTTGCTCTGCTCTGTTGAAGATGATGCACTGTTTTATTAAAGTAGATGTTCTCAAGGGGCACCGTCCTGAATTAAGAGTGAGATTGATCCTAAGGATATGTTTAGGAAGCTAAATTTAGATGCACTGTATTTAAACTCCCATTTCAACCACATGGAAGATAGGCATTCTGCCTTGGGTTATCTGAGCAGTTCTGGAAGGATGCGGATCTGGACTGTGCAAATCCATCCAAGGATATCTCAAAAGACCGCATGTGCCTCTGATAGTGTAGTCAGTGAAGCCAAGAGACTTCTTCTCATCCTAAAGCAGATATAGAGTAGCTGTTCAGTTAAGTAGCTCTGTGCTCTGATTATGGTTTACTAACATGGAGACCCTAGATGCTAACTATACACGGGAGTCTAAACTGAGATGGCTTGATCTCAGTCTAAATCCTGGTGTTGAACTCGTGAATCTGTAGAAGTTCATACCTAAATAACTTTGAAATAATCCAAAACATATTTATTTTTATTACTTATCTAATGGCTTTTTCATTGCTCAGTTTTTGAACAAAATGTGATTTGTCTCAATACCAATTTTTATTTTTTAGAAATCTGTCAGTAGTAAGTCACATTAGTATATGACCTACTTCTTATGCTAAGGTCTTTTCAAAGGTATTGAGCAAGATTAATTCCCAAGTTTGTCCCTGTGGAGCTCTGCTGGTGACCTCTTTACAAAGTGTTACCTTAACATCTCTTTTGAAATATTTTCTAATGCAGATGTTCTCCTTTTTTTTTCCCACTAACTACTTCACTGCCCTATTTACTGTTCTTGTAGAAATCATAGTTTCCTGTAATAGTCAATATGTCCTCCAGTGACACCATAACCAATACTTTTATTTTTGCCATTGTTTAGACATATTACGTAGCCCCTTTCTAGGAAGATTTTGAGTTTTTCTGGCATGAATTACTTATTTTTAATTTATTTCCACAGTTTACTATTTTTCCCATCAAAATCTGTTTTGAAGTCTTGTATGGTAGTAGTAAGACTTAGTGAGCCTGTAGCAGTCTGTATTTGCTTCTTGTACAGGTATAGTTAGAACATTTTTTTTTCCTTTTGATGATGTTTCCCACTAAGTATGAGACTAAATATATAAAGGTCATTGGGAGTGAATTTACAGATAATCTTTTTATGTAACAAACTGTGAAATATTTCTAAGCTGCTGCTCCCAGGAGAGCTGATCCTTCATTCTGTCTTGCCTACCAGTATGTTCCCAAGCTGTGCCTTTTCCCTTTTACCAACACAGGTCTTCATATGACTGCACAGTGAACTGATGGAGGAAATTATTCCAGTTAAAAAATAATAAGCTCGCCTATTTCAGTGTGATCCACTGTGTGTGTGGATGTATTTGGTGTTATGAAAGGAACCAGCTAGGGATAGGAATAGATGGTTATTTTAGAGAGCATGTCAGAGTGCCCGTTTTGGTAGCAGTACCACTTTAGACTGTTATAAAGGCTCCATGGAACTATGGGAAATTTCATAGTGGGTGTTTCAAATTTTTTTGGGCATTTCACACAATAAGAAATAGTTTCTGTTGTGCTACTTATATGAAGCTTTTCACTTTTGCTCATATGCATAAGTAAATTATTGTATGTTAGCTGTATCACAGTTACTGTGAGCAATCCTGAGGAAATCTGAAATATTTAAAATGAGTTTGGTCTTCAGTGAGGACACAGTATCTGATGTTTAAATATCCTGCTGTCTGTGATTGATGCAGATGGATTGCACAAAATCAGAGTAAACTATAGTGAAGACTCAGCTGATGGCAGTAAACTAAATGAAGATGAGCTTATAGATTTTTCTGAAGACCAAGATAACCAGGTAAAGAATTTAGCAATTTTATTTAGGAAATGTGAACTGTTGTGTTGTATTTTAATGGACAGCTTAAAAGCAGTATACAGATTGTGAATGTGCATTCTCTAAAGCTACTTATCTTTACAAGTGTCAAGTCCAAAGCACTGGTTACCTACAAATATCTGCAGGTTAGCTGACAGAGAGGATTATACATTTTTTTATTTAACTGTTAATAGAAAACTGCATGTAATTTTGTGAGTCTTTTGTGTAATGACAATATTACACAGTGGTTTTAGTGGGAACACTGAAAGTCAATACACTTTTATCTTTTGTTTCCCCCACACCATGTTCATCTATTAAACCCAAGAACAAGTTTCCCTTCTTTCAGCTGCATTTCCTGGATATAACCAGACACTTTTAAGTATGTCCTACTCTATTTTTTTGTTTCATTGGTGCTTCTCCTAATCGGATTTACACAGCATGGATTTAAAATTGAGTATGGTCCTTGTTCATTTTGGAAAACATTTAGATTTTAAAGCTATGGAAAGACTGAATATTAAAATGTCCCTGACTGACTCAGTGCTGGTTATGAGGGCATTATTCTGTAGCTCTGTTGCTTCTGCAAGTGTAAGTTCAGTGCAAGCAGGACAGAAGTTACATATTTGCTCTTCCTATTTGGCCTTCCTGTTCAGGTTCCAGGTGTATGACCTTTTCTGGGCTTCTGAGTCCAGAACAATTACTTTTCAGTCTGCAGCTATCTGTGATGACTTCCAAGTAGCTATGTATATGTGTACACAGATATAAAAGCTCCAGTTGATGTTGAAACCCATCAACTGGACTTCGCCCACCTCTCCTGTCATGCCACCTGTGCAAACATTCTGAGTTTTGCCTGATGGAACTGCTTGTCTGTTTTGTAGCAGTTAGAGATTCCAGGAGATGGAGAATATGTATTACAGTATTTCCATGTATTACAGTCTGAAATACATGGCATGAAGGCGGGGAAGCAAAGACATGGCCAGCTGCATTCCTTGAGAAAAGGAACGAATTCCAAGCTCCTTAGTTGCCATGTAGCTTAGAACTTAATTCAGGCTGAAGCTGTCACTGATATTTTCTAGAATGCACAAAACAAGTGTAGAAATAACCATGACAAGCTGGGTGGACCAACCTTTTCATCTGCCAAAAAAGGAATTGAAGCTGCAACAAAAACGAGTGTACAAGGAGCTAGGCAGTGGTTTCTAAGATGGTAACATGTTCATGGCATATCTTGAGGATTTCAGTGGCAGGATCCTGTGTGTTAATGAAAAGTACACAATGCACACAAAAATGTTAATAAATCATGCTGGTGCAGGGATTCCCATTTTTTGAAAACACGTCTTTCCCCATAATGCAGTGATCTGTGGTAGTAATATTGAATTCAATGGAAGGGTAAGAAACTGTGGATCACAGGGATTCTTTCAGGTACAACAACTTAGTGCTTTTGTTCATTAAATTTCCATAACCTTCATAGCAATCAAATTTGAAGTCAAAAGGCCAGAGGATATTTCCAGGCTTGTGGTATGACTGTTTTTGCAATCCTTAATCCTCTGTATCATAGTTGTTTAATTTTCCTTGCCCTAAGAATCAAGTTGTTGCATTTTGGAGCAAAAATACTATTTCTGAGCTTGTTGCAGATCTTGTCTCATTTCACCTGTCAGATAACATATATGAAACTGCCAATTAAGTTTCTAGTATTCACTGGCAAGGAAAAGTATTGATCATTGGCTTATAACCAAATAATCAAGATTCACCTTTTCTAAGCTAGCAGTGTTTTGAAAATATTGGTTGCATTTTTCTAGTTTCACAGTCCTTAAATAAATAGCAGCGTTCAATCCATGTCATTCCAGCATGAATTTCAGAAGAAACTGTGTGACTAAAAGTTGGTCAATTTAACAGACTGTGAATCATTTCAGATCAAAGCTATCATTTCTTTATTAAACTAAGTTATTGGTCTTGAGTGAAAATGCTAAGTGTAACAATAGTTTCCATTGCATCTGTTTGAAAAAAAAAACAGTATTAGCTTTTAAACACCTGTAACTACATTGCTTCTGTAGGAAGACAGTAGTGATGATGGTGGCCTTGTAGATGATAACTGTAATTCAGAAATGGGACAGTGGTACCTGAAGCCAACTATCTGCAAACAGTAAGTATTAAAAGAGTTAAAGTAGAAATTTCATTGAAGTTTATGAAATATAAAAGGCAGCAATTATGAGAAAGTCATACATGAATCTTCAAATGCTTTAATCAGCATGCTGTTAGGGTTTGAGTGAGAACTTTGTACTTGATATTAAAAATCTTTAGTAAGCAGAAAATTTATTGAATGGAACTACTAGTGAAATAATAGCTTTTTTGGTTTCTGTTAAGCCTTTGTGCTGCATCAAGCAGATGAAGATTGTTTCTTCCAATAAGGCTGTTCTTTGGTATTTTGCACTCAGATTCCTACAAAAACAAGATGCAGAAGCATGTTCAAATGTATCCTATGTTAAAAAGCAGATTAATGTTTAACTGCCCCCTTATCTAAATGTGTTGTAGCTGTTCCTCTTTATTGTCTCTCTCTGTACTTTTTTCTCTTACAAAAAAGTGTTCCACACTTTTTAAAAATTTTTTAATCTGTTCTGGATTTGAAAACTTTTTTTTTTTTTAATATTTGATACGCAGGAATAATTTCTTTGTAAATACTGACTGCATATCTTTGCATTATGGTGTAACAGATACATTATTCAAAATCCAGAAATATTGTTACTAGTGTTGCTACCTTGACAGTTTCCTTTGTATTTTTCTCATAATTTATCTATTTTTGTATTTCCTTTCTTGTGGATACAAGGTTTGCTAGAAAGGTGAAGACTTTTACAGTACACTCACAGTACATTCTTTGGAGGTAGAATAGAATTACAGATGAAGAGGTGTTATGGAATATATGACTTAATACATTTTCAAGGAAAAGTCCATCTGTGTTCTGTGATTTAAGAATATTTATGAGCTTCTGCTTATAGCTTGCCTAAATGTGTCCCATTTTGATGGCAGATCATCTGTGCATAATACTTTCCAGCAGACAGTATCTTAATCCAGTGTGAAATTTCATAACATCTTCTATGCTTAAGTATCAAAAGTCATTAAAGGCACTTAAATACTTTACTATTAGAATATTTTAAAAATACTTCTCTATAAAACAGAAATTACTTTGAAAAGGTTCTCACTTCTTCCCCCTGCAAAATACATTTTTAGAAGAGCATTTTAAAGAGCATTTAATGCTTTTTTTAAAGAGCAACACCTATATAAGTAGTTGTATCAGAAATTAAAACAAGCACAAGCAAATATTATTCAAGTGATTATATGCTTATGCCTAAAAAATTGCATACATGTAGATTAGTTTATAAATGCAAACACACCTCTACATAAATGCATGCAGATATTTCGTCTGAATTTACGAGTTTGAAGCTTCTTCAGATGATGCTTTGAATGTATATATGTTATTGTTAGATAAGAAAAAGCAGAGATTTGTGAAAAGTAATTGCATTTATTTATCCCTTAAAATACATACTGCATATAATGCTGAAATTTTGAGCTCTGGTATGAGTTAGCTTTGATGTAGGAATCCAACTTGCATATAAGGAGGCATATAAGATTGCTGTGCTTCTGTCTTCTGAAAAGGTAGAGTGCTTTCGATCAAATGATCTAAAGCATCTGTAGTATGCAGGAGAGGAGTTGAGCAGACTTGGTTCTCTAGAAAATACTTGGTTATAGATACATTACTTTTTAAAGTCTTCCAAATAGAGTTGGTGCATGTTTTGTGTGTAACTACCAGCTGCATTTCAGATTCAGGCTGGGATCACTTATTGAACGTGCTTTCCTAATGTCTTCTAGCGTGCTGTGGAGTGTTCCATCTAGTCTCAAGCTGCTACTCCAGCAGGACGTTTGAGGGCTCTGTGCCTTACTTTCTCTTGCCAGTATCCCAGATACATTGTGCTCTTAAGTAGCATTAGACACCTGAAGGTGTCTTAAGCAACTGTAACAAATTGTCTGACAGTACTGTATTTTCCTTTGTACATTCCTAAGTGTACTTGGTGTATGGTTCAATATAAAGATAACTTGCTGTTTAACTATCCCAATGAGGAGGTTACAGCAGTGCTGGCAGAACTTTGGAGTATTGATCTAGTTTTGTTAAGGCCACCTCACAGACTATTTCTGTGTAATGCTGTGTTTTACAAGCTGCTGTAAAATATTGTGTACTTAAAAACTTGTGTTCTCTGTTAGGCCCTGCATTTTGCTTATGGACTCACTGAGAGGCCCTTCCCGGTCAAATGTTGTGAAAACACTAAGGGAGTAAGTTTTCTATCTGATGCTTGGGCTTTCTTTAGTTTGGTGTTTGTTTCTTTTGTTTTTTTCTTTCTTTTTTTTTTTTGTGGTTTGTTGTTGTTTTTAATTCTTCAAGGAATTAAAAAATATTTTAACTTGCATGGTCTTTTGTTGTAGATATTTAGAGGTGGAATGGGAAGTCAGGAAAGGCAGCAAAAGAAGCTTTTCCAAAGATGTCATGAAAGGTTCCAACCCAAAAGTGCCACAGCAGAACAACTTCAGTGATTGTGGAGTGTACATCTTGCAGTATGTGGAGAGCTTTTTTGAGGTATGTATGTTCTTGAAGCTATTTTTGATTCCTGCAGCAAATACAAGCTGCGGAAATTATTACAATTATAAAAAGCTCCTAGTGCTGCCCAATACCTATTAATGAGATTGTGTTGCAAAGTAATTTATACATAAACATGAGTAACATTTTGAAAGTAAACTAATTATCCTTTTTATTTTTACATACATAAAAGAAATTGTAAGCCATAAAGTTTTCTGTGGGAATCTAAGGAAAACCCATTTAGTCTTCCTTTCTGTTCATCTGCTGGGTACCCTTTAAAATCATCCAGTAAGAACTTGAGTTCAAAATCTAAACTACAAATGCACTACAAAAAAAAAAGCTTGATCATTTTCCTGTGAGAACCGTGACTGGCTAAATTCAGAAATGTGACACAGGTAGGGGGTTTATGTTTCTTTTGGGGATATCTTTAACTTTTAAAAAATATGTAAGTGAAATCATTACAGCTAAATGCCAAAACTTGTTTCCATTGAAGGAATTGTTTGAATGCTTACTTACTCCCAAGCTGACTTGGTCTTAAAGTTACACCTCCTTTCACAAGTGGAGGCATTAACACCTTCTGGTCTAGTTTGGGAGGAGAAATGATGGTCAAGTGAGTTTGCTGCTTGCTTGGGACAGTAGTAACACTTTAGAATCCCTGGTGCTTTAGAGCATTGTTCTAAACTCTTGTGTAGTTTTAAACCCTGTTCTAAACCCTTACCTGGAAAAGCTGGCAGCTTTTCCATTCCTCAGCCCTCTCTCCATTCATACATTACACCAGAGCAGAGTGCATTCATGCAAATGGAAGGCAAAAGCTTTGCTTTACCTATGAGTTCCTGAGAGCTTAGAATTATAACCAAGTGCCTCCTGTTCTGTTCCCTGGGAGTATGAGGAGCAGCCAAATTTTATTAATCCTAACCCATTGCTTCTTGCAAATTGATGGCTGGATTATGTCAGGCTGAATCCCTTGTCCTGCCTGTCCAGCAGTGTGCAGCAGCTTTGTCTGCCAGAGAATGGGCATGACACGTGCATGTGTCAGAGAGCAAATCATAGGATATTCTCAGAAGTAACTCCAGTGGGGACGGAAAACGTGAGCTGGCTGCACAGTACTAAACTCTCTTGAAGTTACTCAGCAAACTATTTCGGCTGCTTTGTATTTGGAAAATTGCCCACAGTCTCATTCTGCACCAGCTCTACAAACTTGATGGAGAGCATGTGGTAGCAGGTGCTTAATCTGATGTTTGTGAACAGTTCAGGCACATATTTTTGTTGTCTGCGTATTTATTTGAAGTACTGAAATCACGATGTGTATCCTCCGAAAGCGAGGATGGCTTGTCAGGGCGGGGGAGCCGCGAGGAGCGGCCCGGCGGG